TATAGCATCACACGTCTTATAACAGTTATATGAAAGCACATGTCTGATATCAGACATCTGACATTAAAGGAGCTGTGTCATGAAATTCAGCCAAATTAGGTAATTACAAAATGCCCGTTAAATTAAGAGAAACGTAAAAATAGCTGCTTAAAACATTAAAGGATGGTTAAAATAACACAACAGATACAACAGATGCCACGGATGGGCAGAACGGAAGAAGATTGAAACAGGTTGAAATTAGGGTTTTTGAAAACTGTTCAGCCTAACAGTTTTTCAAAGTTGATCTCTGCTGTTTGCAACTTCAAAAATAATGCTCAGGGGACATATTAATTGTTTGTCTCGCATCTTTGATATTGTCATTTCCATGTAATTTCTTTGCTTACTTTAAGTTCCATAGCGATTGAGGGCGAGTAATTAGCAAAATTAAACATAATGAATTGGACTGCCGTGACACAGCTCCTTTAACTGTTATCAGATGTCTTATAACAGTTTTAGGACAGCAGACGTCTGATATCAGGCATTAACCTTACTGTTATCAGACATCCGATGTCATTTGTCAGATGTCTGATATCAGATGTTCGATATCAGACATCTGACATCAGACGTCTGATAACAGTTATATAACATAAGATATAACATCAAATGTCTGATAACAGTTATACAACAACATATAACATTACACATTAGATGTCTTATTGCAGATGTCTGCTATGATATAACTGTTATCAGACGTCTGATATCATATGATGTCCATCACATTAGACGTCTGACATCAGACGGCTGATAACAGTTATATAACATAAGATATAACATCAGACTGACTTCAGACAACTGCTGTCATATAAGTGTTATGAAATATCTGGTGTCATATCAGAGGTCTGATATCAGACATCTGACATGAGACGTCTGATATCAGACAACAAACATCATTGACATCAGACGTCTGATAACATAACTATAACATAACATATAACATCAGACATCTGATAACAGTTATATGTCAGCAAACGTCTGATATCAGACGTGTAATAGCAGACGTCTGCTTTCATATAACTGTTATCAAATGTCTGATAACAGTTATATAACATAACATATAACATCAGATGTCTTATAACAGTTATATGATAGCAGATGTCTGATATCAGACATCTGACATTAACTGTTATCAGACGTCCGATGTCATTTGTCTGATATCAGACGTCTGATAACAGTTATATAACATAATATATAACATCACACATCAGACGTCTGGTGTCATAATTGTTATCAGACGTCTGGTGTCTGTTATGATGTCTGTCATATTAGACGTCTGATATCAGACATCAGACAGCTGATAACAGTTATATAACGAACATATAACAGACATCTGATGTTATATGTTATGTTATATAACTTTTATCAGACATCTGAAATCAGATGACTCTAGACGTTTGACATCATAACTAATATCAGATGTCTGATGTCATTTGTCTGATACCAGACATTTGATGTCATATCAGATGTCTGATATCAGACATCAGATGTCTGATAACAGTTATATGATGTCGGATGTCTAAAGTCAGATGTAATATGAGAACATATAACATCGGACGTCTGCTGTCATATAACTGTTATCAGACATCTGATGTCATATCTGACGTTTGATATCAGACATCTGACATAAGACATGAGACGTCTGATAACAGTTATATGACAGCAGACGTCTGCTGATTTAAGAATCTCATGTTGTAAGACCCCTGGTTGTCAGAACCCCTGGATGTACGAACTCTTGGTTGTAAGAACCCCTGGATGTAAGAACTCTTGGTTGTAAGAACCCTGGCTGTAAGAACCCCTGCTTGTAAGACCCCTGGATGGAAGAACCCCTGGTTGTAAGAACTCCTTGGATGTAAGGATCCCAGGTTGTAACACCCCTCAATGTAAGAACCCCTGGTTGTGAGACCCCTGGCTGTAAAAAAACCCTGGTTGTATGAACCCCTGGCTATAAGAACTCTTGGTTGTAACACCCGTGGTTAAAAGAACCCCTGGGTGTAAAAACCCTGGATGGAAGAAACCTGGTTGTAAGAACCCCCGAATGTAAGAACTCTTGGTTTTAAGACCCCTAGTTGTAAGAACCCCTGGTTGTAAAAACCCTTGGCTGTAAAAACCCCTGCTTGTAAGATCTCTGAACAGAAGAACCACTGGATGTAAGAACCCCTAGATGTAAAAACCCCTGGTTCCAAGACCCCTGGATTGAAAAACCAATGGATGTAAGAACTATTGGTTGTAAGGCCCCTAGTAGTAAGAACCACAGGTTGTAAGACCCCTAGATGTAAGAACCCCTGGTTGTAAGACCCCAGGATCAAAAAACCCTGGTTGTAAGAACCCCTAGTTGTAAGACCCCTGGATATAAAAAACCCTGGATGCAAGAACTCTTGGTTGTGGTTAAAAGAACCCCTGGTTGTAAGACCCCTGGTTCTAATACCATGGATGGAAAAACCAATGGATGTAAGAACTATTGGTTGTAAGACCCCTAGATGGAAAAATGCTGGGTTGTAAGAACTCCTGGATGTAAGAACCCTTGGTTGTAACACCTGTGGATATAAAAACCCCTGGGTGTAAGAAACCCTGGTTGTAAGAACCCCTGGCTGTAAGAACTCTTAGTTCTAACACCCATGGTTAAAAGAACCCCTGGTTGTAAGACCCCTCAATATAAGAACCCCTGGTTGTAAAACACCTGGATGGAAGAACCCCTGGATGTGAGAACTCTTGGTTGTAAGACCCCTAGTTGTAAGAACTACTGGTTGTAAGACCCCTGGCTGTAAGAACCCCTAGATGTAAGAAACCCGGGTTCTAAGACCCTTGGATGTAAGAATCCCGTGTTCTGGTTGTAAGAACCCCTGGCTGTAAGACCCCTGGATGTTAGAACCCCTGCATGTAAGAACTCTAGGTTGTAAGAGCCTGGGTTGTAAGATCCTGGCTGTAAGAACCCCTGGTTCTAAGACACCTGAATGGAAAAAGCCCCATTTGTAAGAAGTCCTGGATGTAAGAACCCCTGGTTGTAAGACCCCTTGCTGTAAGAACCCTTGGATGTAAGAACTCTTGGTTGTAAGAGCCGTGGTTAAAAGAACCCCTGGCTGTAAGACCCCTGAATGGAAGAACCCTGGATATAGGAACCCCTGGTTGTGAGGGCCCTGGATGTAAGAACCTCTGGTTGTAAGACCCCTGGATGTAAGAACACCTGGTGGCAAGAAACCCTGGATGTAAAAATCCCTGATTGTCAACACCCCCTTGGTTGTAAGACCCCTAGATGTAAGACTCCCGGTTGTAAGAACCCCTGGTTGTATGACCCTGGTAGAAGACCTCTGGATGCAAGAACCGCTGGTGTGAAGACTCGTGATTGTAAGGCTCCTGGTTGTCAGACCCTTCATTGTAAGACTTCTGGTTGTAAGATAATTGCTATGATTTCATGCCCAAGTTTTTTGAGAAAATAAAACAGTTTATCTATTGTAATGACAATGAAAAAAATTTACCAGCTACTCTTTATTTTGACAAGTTACAATGTATATAAAGAACATCCCGTTATCGATTCTGCTCGAAAAATATCAGGCTGAGTAAATCCCCCAAGAGGAACACCACTAAGTGGCACGGTAGAGGCAATACCTTCCCGAGAAACCTAACAACTGTGGGAGATAAACATGTGGGATTTGTGTGGGGTCAGTGGAATTCTGAGATTTACATAGGAAGGACAGACAAAGAACAGGCTAATCCCGAGTTGTTCATGGAAGATAATGGACTGTTCGAAGGGCACTTTTTTTCCATGAATGTTAATTGTTCCGTATGGTGTATTTTGATAAATTTTCTCCCAACTGGGACAATCAGTCTGTCAAGATAAAACCATTTCCTTTGTTCACTAAACCACTTTCGTCAATGAAACGTACCTTCACATGGGACGCCATTATTTCTTGACAGCACTGAATAAAAGTTTGTGGACCTCTTTGGAAACCAATTTCTGATTAATTCAAGCGTTTAATTGGTCCAAAAATAACTTTGGTGAAATTCACATATTCCAAGGGCTAGATTGGGTGTTTCCGTCTCTGTCACATTATGGCTGTTGTGTACATTTGTGTAAAATTCCGAAAATAAGCCCCTCCATGTATAAGCCAGCAACGCAAAAAACCCTCCATTAAATTGCCCCTCCAAATATAAGCCCCCCGAGGGCTTGTACTTGGAATATTTCCCTCAAATACAAAGTAAAACAAATCAAAAACGGTAAATTTAACTTCAACTGTAAGGCTAGCCCAATCAATTTTGAGACGCAAATTTCCCTCCATAGATAAGCCCCTCCGAATATAAGCCCCTCCAAATATAAGCCCCTCAAAAAGGGTCTTTGAAAAATATAAGCCCTGGGGCTTATTTTCGGAATTTTACGGTATATAATGTTAGCTTTGTTTATTTTCTTTTGTTTATAGATTTCTTTATGTTTTACACACGACCCCAGAAACTTTTATTTAATGGTAGTTTTTATTACATAAGTGGTGTGTTGTGTCAAAATAAAGGTCTTCTTCTTCTCAAAAGTGGTACATGTATATAAAGAGTTGAGGAGTTGGACCTTGGAGGGGATCCTCTCTGTATGAAATGTTGTAGTAGCACCCTCCCCCCACTGCGTACAAGAGGCATGCCTCCACAGTGGCAGATATCAGAGGTTTTTGAGAATAAATGGTACAAAAAATTGTCAAAATGGTGTGTTGATGATTATTTAGGAAAGAGGATTAAATAATTAACTAAACTGTGCTCAGTGACATGGCCATTAACTTTTTTAAGTCAAAAAGGTTCGAGAATACAACTTTTAATTATTAATATAATAATCCATTCTGTCTTATATAATATATCTACATTTTTACAGTAAAAAAACATAATTGTTGTAATCCACAAGTCATTACAAAATCACTCTTTGCCAGAGTCAAACAGGAGCCTATATCTAACATTATGCAATCCATACTAATCTCCAATAAACTGACATTCTACCTCCACTGCCCTGTCCTGCTGCTTTGTAATCTTTGAAGGCACTTTCTGGAACAGAGAAACCCCTCAGCAGGTATGTGGTTTTGGGTTGAACACACAGACACTACTGCATGTGCAAGTTGTTGAATGTTGATAGTCACAATGTGGTGAATACAAGATGCAAAACAGTAGTTTCCACACAGACACTGTTTTGCACCATCCAGAAACACACAAAGAGACAGAGGAATGATTTCTGAAGAATATGACCACCTAAAACAGAGACAAGTACTTTGTTCAGTAATATAAATCCTTAACAATGTCCAGTATCCAATGACAAAGCTTAAAAATGTACTTAATTCAAGCTCATTCTAAGGGCAAGAAGTGCTCAAATGTTGCATCCTGGTCTAAGTCAGGAGTGGTTAAGTGACAGACGATCAAACAAGATTTTTTTTGTGAGCCCTAAACAATTTTATTTGTCCTGACAGTACAGGCTTACCACTAATGCTGAGAAACTGTCATATCATTAGTCAGTCTTTGGTAAAAATCAGTTGTTTTCAATTGGTTGTTAGATGTAGTGTCCAGTCACCCACTTCTGAGCCTCATGCAGAGGTTGGCTGGTTACCTTATTATAGGAAATTAACGCTCCATGAAATTAAGGTATTGGAAATTAACGCGACTTAAATTAACGCGAATTTAAAGGAAAACGACTTTCGAATAAAGAAAATTAACGCGAAAGAGGAGGTAGAATTTCATAATAAAGGAAATTAACGCGATTCTCATATTCTGTTGAGAAAGACTATGCTGACGATTTGAAATCTATCTTGGCCGAAATCAAAGGAGAAGATATTGACCTCACTTCTGACAGCGACAATGATGAACATGAACTCGAAATTTTGTAAACCTTCTCCTTTAAGCTTTTGTGAAAGATGAAAAATAAAGGGTCAATGGAAAGAAAGAAAGCTTGTAGTTAATGTTTTTTAGGTGTCAAGAATGTCTGGACAGGTTCCAAAATTAAGGTTAAAATACTGGAAATTAAGAGCACAGAAATTAACGCTGCACTTAATTAACGTCGCAGAAATTAACGCTCAACAAAATTAACGCGACTTAAATTAACGCGAATTTTAATGATTCGCGTTAATTTCATGGAGCGTTAATTTCCTATAATAAGGTACTAAGGAGGTAAACTCCACCTACACTACCCCCTCCCCACCTGGTCAGGTTTTAGGGCACAAGGAGAAATAAGAAACCATTTTAGGCTACACTTACTGTACCTTTATTGGCTAAGTTGTGATTCATAAATTACTTTTCCTAATACACGTAACACATGCTAAGTCATTATCTACACGCTTATTGAATTAATGAATTAATTTATTTGGTTACAATACATGTACAAAGAAAACAACAACAAGTACTAAAGTACTAAAATAAAAAGATTATTTTACCTGTGCTTTTTTACAGCAATCCCAGAACACTCCTGTAATGAGGGCACAGCTAATTTGTTGACAATGTTCCAGTTGTTTTGATGAAGAAATGGGTTCTCAGACACATCCACTGACTCCAGTTTTAGTTTAGATAAACTGTGGGGCAAAACTGTGAGCTGATTGTGACTTACACTAAGGAAGCGTAAACTTGACAGCTTTCCAATATTCACTGGTAGCATATGAAGCTGGTTTCTATCAAGTTTAAGATGAACAAGGTTTTTGAAGTTGGAAAAAGCTACAGGAAGCAGCTTGATTTCATTCTGGCTGAGATCTAACAGCCTCAAAGATGATGTTATTACTCCATTACACAATGCTGTAGGAAACTCTCTAATCCTATTCCCATGTAGAACCAGTTCAGATAACGTTGACAGTCTTGCCATTCTGCATGGAATTTCCTTTAACTGGTTATTGGCAAAGTTTAAACATGCCAGACTTTTAATCTGTAATATGCGCGCCTCTATCCGCAGTAGTGCACAGTTGCTAATGGATAACTTGTTCAGGGTGCTTGGAAAAGGTTTTCCAAGGGGATAATCACAGCGTCTCGTGATTGTCATTTCAGTTTTAGGTTTTTCAATGTCTGATGCTTTGGCAGGTGTCAGACCCATCAGTTTCACCTTTTGTAGTTCCTTGTCTCCAAGTTTAAGAATGGACAGGAATGATTTGAGGCTTGATGGATCAGCCTAAAAAAGAAGTTGTTCACTCAAGTTTTGAAAAAGTTACTGCTGCTTTCTATTTTTTCTGCATAATTTTTATGTTGCACATCAAAGTAAGCCATGTTTCACTTAACAATAATTATAATGAATAAAAATTGTGTGCCATTACAAGACAAGATGATGATTAGTTTTACACCTCACATTAATGAGCCTGTGAAGCTAACAGTTATACACAGTAGAACATGTGGATCTTGTTTACTGTGGGTAATGTCGACTGAGATATCGGTCGACATAGCGGTCGATATAGCAGTCGACAGTCGGTCGATGGTCGGTCGATAGTGAGATAGACTATCGGCCGAGTATCGGTCGATATTTCGTCGACGCACCTTGACTTACTATCGGTCATATGTCGGTGACATATCGGTCAACTGTCGGTGATATATCGGTCAACTGTCGGTGGTATATCAGTCAACTGTCGGTGGTATATCAGTGAACTGTCGGTGGTATATCGGTCAACTGTCGGTGGTATATCGGTCAACTGTCGTTCGAATATTAGTCGTGTGTTAATTTATCAGGTGAGTCCAATGGCTTTTTTTTAACCAAAGACGTCATTTATTACTGTTATCATGCGATGGGGAACATGTGACAGTGCAAGGCGCGATTACGCTATGAAGAGAACCGAAGAGCACTGGGAACTAAGGACATGATAACCCTTTTTTTTTCCAGTTTGTATCATCACCGATCGTCTGAGTTTTAGCTGTTAAACAGAACCTGTCTCAGCCTAAGTTGAATCTGCTGCTCCTGTGGTCCCACAAAAATGTAGGAAAATGTAGGAAATGCTAAGTGTAGACCGACCATTGACCGAGTGTCGACCAATTACTGACCGACACATCGGTCAAGTATCGACCAACTATTGGCGAAGTGTCGGTGAAATGTCGGTGAACGAAAAGCTAAATCGGCCGAGACACATCTGGAACGACTATCGGCCGTGTCTCGACCCACTATCGACCAAGTGCCGACCGAGTATCGACCGACTGTCGACCGAGTGTCGACCGACTATCGACCGAGTGTCGACCGCTATATCGACCAATATCTCGGTCGACATTACCCACAGTAAACAAGATCCGAACATGTTTCTAGTTGAGTTCATCATGAGTTCTGTACAGCTCAGGGGTAGGCAGTGTTCTGGGAGGCCTCTCGTTCATATCAAGTAGAGAACTCAGAACATTAATAATTTTTCTTTGCGGCAACACTCAAAGTTTTTCTTTGTGATGTTGTGAAAAATACAACAAACTGTACAACATCTCTCTCAACAAAAGGAGTGGCATATAAATGGGAAGTGCCCTCCACCCCATTTTTGGACCATACAGAGAGTCAAAGGGTCAAAATGTATTTTTCTCAATTGCAGGCCTTCCTTTTCTTAATGCCTCCTCATGATGACACTAGAAATGGCTGCGAGGGAGACTACCCTAATACCTCAAGGCCAGGACAAGCATTCCTCCTCTCTCTCTCACTTACAGCAAGAAGCCCAAAAGTGTGACTTCTTTTAATTTATTCACGTTCTTTTGTACAGTTTTAATCCAATCAGAAGCCAGCTGGAAACTGTCCTCGACTTCTGATTGGTTAATGTCTGTATGAAAGGATGTGAATTAATTAAAGAAGGTCACACTTTGGGGCTCTTTGGCTTGCTGTAAAAATCTTGCAGCACTCATCGCTGTCAACTCTCCCGGATAATCTGGGAGACTCCAGATTTTGGACCGTATCTCCCACTCTCCAGATTAGAGCCTGAAATCTCCTGGATAATCGCCAAAGTTTGCTAGACTTTCCGGAATAAAATTTCATATTTTTTGCGTTGTTTGAGCTATTTTACTGTTAACGTCAATCATACTCTCCAGTATGCCATTGTAATAAATTATAAGCATTAATGAGATTGATGTGAAGTAAACCAAATCAGATCTACATGTAGATCTTCAGTCGGTAAAAATCGCCCGGACATCACACTGACCAGGTCAAATGTTACATGCCAACATCTTTTTCGAGCATTCTGTGTCATTGTAAATTTGTGGCGATGGGTACTAACTTTTTGTACAAATGTCGTCATGTGCTGTATGTTATGACATCATCATCCCTTGGTGTTAATAATAATAATAAATAGTAAAAATAATAATAAAAAATAATATTTATATAGTGCCTATACTTTTCAGTGCTAAGCATGGGGTTGACAGCCCTGAGCATTTTTGGATCATATCCTCGATTGTCATTCATTGTAATGCCTGTTATGCAGTGACAAGGTAAGGAGAAATCACACGCTTTTACCTTGTTTATGAGCAGATCATGTGGAGGCTCTTTTAAACGAATTGTTGCTTTTCCTTTTTCAACGAACTTTGAGAAGACTTGCTGAAGATTTTCTTTGATCTATTGAGAAAGCATAACGTTATTAAAGATCAATTGAAACACTAGCTTTAGATTACCGTAAATCCTCTATTAAGCCCTCCCTCTTAAATAATCCCTCCCTCTCTAATAAGCCCCCCCTTTTCAGAGGAGGAAAGTTAATAAGCCCCTCTCTCTAATAACCCCCCCCCCCCGTCCCCCTCCATCCTTATTCTTCACAAATAATCAACATGTACTTATCAGTTATGGTTTATTCAGGCTGGAAATTTATATTGTTGTTGGTCTTCGGCCGTATGACCTCCAACTTCATGTGCTTAACTTTTTCAAATTTATGCTCTAGTTGTCTGTGGAGAATTGTTACCATTTTCTTATTGTTAGAAAAAGCAGTATAGCGTCCGGTAACCACAAGTCCGTCCTCGAGAAACCTTGCTGCCGTTGATGCGTTTCGCTAAATTAAATCAGCCCCCCTCTCTATTAAGCCCCCTCAAAAGTGCTTGGAAAAATAAGCCCCCGGGCAGCTTAATAGAGGATTTACGTAAATCAACGTTGTACAAACCTTGTATCTTGCTCCATTTTTCTCTTTCGCAGTGCAAACCAGAAGAAACACAGTCTTCTCTGCTGTACCTGCAGCAATCTTGGAAGATTCTTTGCGCCCGATTGCTAATGAGGCACGGGCTGGTTTGCTTGAGTTTCGCATACTAAACGAAGGGCCTAATCGATTTACAATTGATACTTCACAATTTAGCCGCATTTTCAACTCTCGTTGATCATTGAAAACTAAACATTTGTGGGTGGCTTTCAAGAAACTGCCTTTCGCTCTTGCCGCCGCCAAGTTTGATTGTACTCACGTGATTGATTCGAACCAATCATCGATGACCCTTCGTTGGAAATTTTCTTGAGCCTGCGATATGGTTGAGAAGTAGGGAGAAGCTGGGTTGACGGGCCAATAAGGAACTTTTGCTCTTTTTCCTATAAAATAGTGAGAAATGGCGAGCATTATTTCAACGCCAAGTACCGTATCTGTTCAGATTACGAGCTCAATGACTTCTTTTACATCTGAGAAGAGGCTGCAACGGGGCGATGCTATCTCTACTTTGAGGGTAAAGAAAGGAAACTTGTGTCTAGGGAATTTTCTCATAGACATAATTTATTACAGTATTGGTCTTGCATTTCTTTTAAACAAAATAACCTGAACCGTCAGATTGATCAAGTGAACTGCTTCAATTGTCAAAGGGGTATATATATCTCAGTTTAGGAAGAATGGAACTAATCTGCATGTCATTCATGCATAATCAATAATACAGTCTGACACAAACCCACTCAAAAAGGTCATCAGTCCCTTTGTAGACTCAGGAGGAGTGACCTATGTTTACTTCAAAATCAAATGTGAACTTGACCGATCAAACCGTCGTGTGATCGTGTTAGAAACTTGCTAAAAATTATATTATCTAATACTTTGGAAAACTGCTGAAGGTAATGACTGTGGACGAATAACAGCGAAGGGTGACGTTAGTTCCCACTGAGCATTAGATAAAATTTTAACAATTATTGTAACACGATTGCGTGAGGGTTTAAATTTCCAACTGTGCACCCATCTTTCTCTGATTTGACCTTTTCAGCCTGGATGGTGCTGGAAGGAGGAGGGGGAGGGGGGAGGGGTCACTTCTTAGTGAACTTTGCACCCCTATGAGCACCCTGTTATCAATCTGCCCCTGTCTTCCACAGTGTCATTCCAGGTTAATTCTACAATTGTAGAAGGTCTGGCTATAAGCAGCATATCCTTTGGCCAGTCTTGAGCGTGAGCCATCACAGACTGTGTCTTCTTCATATTGTCTCAAACCTTTACTTATTTGAGGGTTAGCCTCCTTCCTAGATATTCCTTTGGCTCACCAAGCAATAATTTATGTGGCAAGTCTAAGGAAAGTCTGTGAGTGTCATATTTCCTTGAATAATAGCCAGGGGCGATTATCATTTTTTTGCACGTAAAGGGGGCAATTTTTTTGAGAGAGGTGATTATTTCAAATATTGCTCAATGGAAGTCATGCCCTAAATATTAGTGCTATTCACTGATTCACCTCCAGTTCCTCGAAGCGAGTGATACTAAACTCACGTAAGTTTCAAGCAAAATGGTTTGCTAGTTTACTGCTGTAACAAACAAAGAAATTTCACTTAATAATCCCGCAAGCTGTTCCCGAAATACATGAAGAAGGTGACAAAATTTGGTTTGGAAGCTTTAGCTTTGTCTGTTTGACTTGAATTTATCGATGAAACCAGTGAAAAAGTTTTTAGTTTACAAATGTAAATTAACTGTTGTATTACTTTATTTAGCTGACATGTTCATAAAAAAGCTTAAAACTAAATTTAATAGTTTTTTTACAGAATGGTTTCAAGTACAAAAAGAATTCATAACTCCTTTTGGAGAAATTTCCAAACAATAGGTAAACAAATTGCCTTCAAAAGTTTATTTGTTGGGAAGAAATCATGAGGGCCATTCGGTCATTTGCATGCCAAAATTGTAATAGTTGGTAGCAGTAAATGAGTTAAACACCATCATTTTTGTGTTCAATTATATCACTGTTTTATTATATATTGAGACAATGATATTATTCACCTCATTGTCGGTGGCTAGCAGTGGATGTAATATGTACCTCACCACTCTGGAGCTCAGTATAATTATATTTCCACCACTAGCCACCTCCATTTCAGTAAATAATAATCTAGCATAATATTATCCCATTAAATCAAAAATGATCACACAAAATAAACTGAACATGGACTTTTTAAGTGCTCCAAAGTTGGTTCCTTGATTTATTTTTAATGTCATTATCCTTGGCATCAGAGCTTGAATTTGTCACTGATCAGTTTTCCCAGATCAGACTCCACTTCATCTTGATGAGGAGGGGATAAAAGAAAGAGAAGATGACGAGAGGGGTGCAGGGGCGATTGTTTTAAATATTTTCGTCTAAGAGGAGCGATTATTTAAAGGAAGCATTTAATTGAGGGATGGCTAAAATTTGAGGGAATTCGGTAAGTAACTTTTAACTAAGTAACCTACATGTACACTTAGCTCATTAGAATTGCTGATATTTGCAGGTTTTATCACAAACATAAATGTAATGCTTTTAAGATAAATAAAGTAAGTATAACTTTATAACATTTACTTCTTTAGGGGAAACTGGAGTTAATAACAGGATGCTCAGCGGTGACAATGGAAGTTCAGTTACTGGACAAAGAAGGAAAGCTTTTATGTGTCCTTGACAATGATGATGCATTACTGGGTGCTTACCCAGTAGATGACAACATGAGACTTCATGTATGTTCTATTTGTTGTTTATTCACTGGAGGTACAACGTGATGTTACATAATAATATTATTCTACTACATTGTATATCATCAATGTAAAAATTAGCAGACATGGATCCACACCAATTGCAACCACTTTATGAAAATGGGTCAAATGTTTCATAAATTGAAATATTTTAATAAATATATATTTTAATATTAAAATTGATATCCTGTCTGAATGGTACCAAAATCCAGGGAAGGTGAATTTGGGAGTGTGAATCCAAAAATATTCTGGGGGTGCGGGGTGCATGTCCCTGGTCCCCTAGAAGCTTGCACCTTTGGTGTTCGTTTAGGAAATCAGGCAGTATTTATTCTCTTTATCCACTCCTGACTAGGTAAAATCCCATGATACACACTTGGCCCCTTACATTGTGGCAATGATATAATTTGTTTTACATGATTGATCTAGGAGTATTAACAACAAAGTTAATGTTTAATGAGGTGCCAGTCTATTGCAGAGGAACGTTTAGTATTATTTTGATGCCCATATAACATCGATCGAGCAACAGACTGTATGGCAGTTTTAATGTGTCTGGCCTAGGTGGTATCAAAATTGACTGTCAGGCTTTCATGATTTGATAGTGAACCAATAAGCATGACATCAGGGACAAGATCACATGTCCAGTTGGAATGACACTGTTTTTCACTTTGCATCTAATATATAGGTTGTGGACAAAGATCCTACAAAAAAGGTAGGACAATTTGAAGACTTATCAGCCGTGGAAAAATATGAGATGGACACAGAAGAATATGCAAAGAGAACTGGTTAGTGATTGATATTATTGTTTACTCCCAGATACACAGATTTGTCATTTGTAATAGTTTAAATCATTGTCTACTCTGGAAAGTTTAATACATTATTCACATTGCACAAATATTTTATATATGAAGCCTTAAATCAGGGTATGCTTTGGCTTTGTCAGTCACATCTGAGATTGCCTGTTGCCTGGTACGTAAACAGAGTTGTCATTAAGATTTCAAGTTGCTGGGTACATACAACAAGTAGGCAGTTTTTGGGGCTATGTCACCTGTCACTTCTACCCCTTGGAAGGCCTTATTTATGGTGCAAAAATCTTCTTCTATAGATTCAGTGAGGGCCTTCAAAGAAAGAAATAAGCTTGGCCAATTTAAGGAGAAAACTCCAGAGGAAATACAAAAAGAGAAAGAGAAAGCACAACTAGAGGAAGAAGCTGCGAAAGCAATCACTGTTGGTTCTCGATGCGAGGTCAAAGTTGTTAGTGCACCTCCCAGGAGGGGCGAGGTTATGTTTGTAGGTATGTAAACATAAAGTGTTCATGTCACCCCTCAAAAACGTTTAATACTCTAAGATAAATTGCGTGAGCTCTAAAGCTCTAAACATTTGAAAATCAGTAAATTAATCAAACCCAGGAACCAGATCAGTGCTGCTAAAAAAGGGGTGGGAGCTTAGCTAGTACCCCTAGCCACCAAGCATGTCGCAGATGTGAGAAATTCCTCGTGAGTGAGCTTTTTGTGATAAGCAAAGCAGCTTAGTGCAAAAAAAAAAAAAATGTCAGCTATGGTCCACAGGTCTCATTTACAAGTAAGGAGACTGACTTTGGTAGTTCATTAGTCAGACAAACAAAAGAGCGTTTCTTGATGTTTTAAAGTGTTGATGGACATGGTTGAGTCTGTTGTCTGAAACAAAGGAAAGTACCGTTTAGAAGCTTTCATGCTGGTTATCCATGTACTCATTTGACCTTAAAAAGGCTGCATTTTATTTACGACACTTTTTATGAACAGTTATTTCAGATGTTTCAACTTCAATGCGTGGTCATGTAAAAGAAGATGAAAAAGTTGATGAGACAACCTAAGTGAATGGTCTTGTGTTTGACATTTTGTAGCACATGCTACAGTGTTTAAAACAATGCAAATCCTGAAATGATAATGTTTTGTTTCAGGAAAAACAAACTTCAAACCTGGCTGGTGGGTTGGTGTGAAATATGATGAGCCTGTTGGTAAAAATGACGGCAGGTAAGCAGATTTTCTATGATCATTGTATCCTACTAGGGTGTTTCTTTTACTTTCTGATATGTTTTATTAACCACGGTGAGAATAGCTCAGTCGGTAGAGGGCTTGACTGCAGAGCGAGAGGTCACGTGTTCATCAGTCCGGGGACTGGGCCAATAATCAGGATCTTAAAATAACTGAGAAATGAAGGTACTGCCTTTGCACTGCAAGTGGCTAGGACTTCACATGGCCTGAATGACTACACAAAACGGTGGTCCCATCTCCAGTAGGAGACATATCCCCAATATTTTGTAAATTCAAATAAAGTGTGTTTTTTTTAAAGTGAAGGGTGCCGTAGCTAGTTATAAGGCTGGTAGTCATTTGATAATAACTATTTTGATTTTGTTGGTGTGACAATTTTATACACTGTCTTGGTGCATTTCAAAGCAAACTTGAATTAACAAGTAACAAAAACAACAAGAAAAAAAGAGAAGAGCACAAAGGTGCAAGGGGATGGTGGTAGGGTGAATTACCCCTCCCATGCTCTCAACATTTTAGACTGAATGTGTCCACTTTGTGGGTTTATCAAATAATAATGTAGAAAGATGATTATACATTGTAGAGCTATGAACAATCTATTTTCCAAACAGTTTGATTAGTTTCATTGTATTTTCCAAAGATTTTTCAGTTTGTTTAAACTATTCTTTTTTCCCCATCTTTTTGCATCAGATTATTGTTATTGTTTGTACGAACCTTTGCCATGAATCACTTGTACATCATAAAGGTTCAAGTTATTAAGGTTCTAAGACAAGTTGATTGAAGTTGTTTCTGTTTTCCTTTCAGTGTTGCTGGGAAAAGATACTTCACTTGTCCACCAAAATATGGCGGATTTATTAAACCAAAGGATGTAGCGGTGGGTGATTTCCCAGAAGAGGACTTGGGAATTGAAGAGGATGAAATGTAAAAACAAAAAGAAGGAAAGAAAAAAGGATGCTTATATTCTAATAAAGTGGATAAATTATTCAGAAACTGTGGAACTCCAAACACAGCAAACAGCTACTACTGTCAAACATCTATAAGATAGTGGCCACTTATTTTAAGTGATTGTCTGTCAAAAATACCAGTATAATATTGAGACATCTTTAATTCGATCAAAATTTGATGCCACACAGCTCTGGGAACAAGTCATAAGTTTTTTAATAGTATTATTTATTATAACGCACTTAACCGTAAAAATACAGAACTTTTTTAAGTTACCTAAAAAGCAAATTATTTCTCTACAAGCTGCAACAGAAAAACTGGAGAAAAGAGACACTCAGTGGTGTACAATTCAAAGTAGACAGACTGCAAATTATATTAGTTAATGTTAGGCAAGCCAGCAATACACTTTTAAACACTATAAAATTGATTGCTATGACTGAAGGCATATCAAGCTATACTGATCAAGTGGAACCCTCATAACAGTGGGGACTGGCAGAACGTTTTAACCTCGAGGTGCATTATATTGGGGTTTAATATTCTACACATTTTACTGTAACAGGGTAGAAAATCAGTTGCTCCTCACACAGTGGTTTGTTATATTGAGGTTCCACTGTGTGTTGTAAAACAGCTTGTTTAATAAACTTCTCAATATTGCTTTTTAAAGTTATTTGGCACAACTAACACAAGTCTGGCCATTGCAACCAGTGATAAGTTAAACTTCTACATAACCTACTGTGAACTGCTAAAACCTCACCTGTCAATGTTCTAAAAATACTGAACAGAAATACAACCAGGACTGAGATTTCATCGCTGATGATAAAAATAGAAAAGGGGCTGTTACCAAAACAGTCTGAATCAGCATTTTATCTATAGTTCAGTAGACAAAGATTTATTCGGTGGATAGTATTATGCAACTTAGAACAACTCAGCCCCGATGGCACAATTCGACTTTTGAGCAATTAAGTCAGGGTGGATAGCACGATACAACTTTTTAAAATAACTAAGCCATTCTTGCACGCTGATTGGTCAAGAGCTATGTTTCAGAAGAGTGAAGACCATGGAAATGATGTGATGGTGGCACAATTTGTTTTTCTCTTTCTTGCGTGTGTGAGATTTTCTGAGAAACGTCAATGGAAATGGACATCAAAACTGTCCATGTCATTGTAAAAAAACAAATTGACAACAATTTCCAAGGTCTGTACTCTCATTGACGATAGAAATGATGTCAAGAAGTTCAAAATTTTGTAGTGAAACCACTCACCTATGACTCATTGTTCCACTTGAGTTTTGAACAATTTGACATCATTTCTATGGTTGATAAGAGTACGGACCATGAAAAATTGTTTCAATTTGTTAAGATGAATAACTGAGACTGGAAGTCCAAAACTCATGACCCTACGTTTCAGAGACACACACCCATGCGTAAGAGGGAGTTCTCCTTCCTGGGCCTACATTACGATTACAATCTGCTAGCTATAACCCAGCTGTTGATATTGTTTTGCTGCTGTGCTTCTCGGCAAGTTCTCGGCTGTTAACATTCGACTCCAAACTTATCAAAATTTCTTGTTATCACACCCAGTTGCAAATGTACTGTTCCCATAGCAACTGTTCTTAGTTTATATCTATCCGCACCAGTGTAGATAGCGTCTGAAGTTTTTAACTGAGGAGCTCCACCTACGAAAAAACTCCGAAGTTGTTCGAATTTCCCCGAACATAAAGGTCTCCAAGTAACGCAATCGACGTCGTGTGTCCCGGGAGAAGTAGGAACATGACAGTATCCATACCCGTAAATCTCGTTTCTACCATAAGAATCCTGATGCCACACTTGAAAGTGGAATTTAGGCCATCCTTTGAGTCCCTTTGTAGCAAAATGCAAGTCTATAGGGTGACACCACTTCGCGCATTCCTCGTTTTGCGGATTGTCAACTTGTGTCTGGCCTTCTTTCTGTCCCGCTAAAAGTTTCCATAATCCATCAACATGGACAGACCATTTGCAGTATAAATTATGCGATGGAAAACCACTGGCACCGATAATTTCGCCAATAACATGAACTTCCGCCATAACCGAAACTGAACGTTTGCAAATAAAAATTTTCCGAACAGAAAAATTCCAACATGGCGGACTTCATTCTGCGCATGCCAAAACTGAGCCCGCGATAGTTTTGAACATAACAAGATGGCGGCAAAAGTTGAATGTTGAATGATCACTTTCCGTGCGGTAATTTCTGCTTGAAACAAAATAAGCCTAAAAGTGGAGATTTACCCAAAGGCATATAAGATAAGAGAGCTTTCTTGTCGTCTTTTGAAAGCTACCGCTTCTCTCATGCTACATGGAAAGAGAGATCTTAGAAATTAGTGGGAGGCGGAAATGAATAAGAAAGGCCCGCAAGAAAGCGACACGAGACCCTTATGCAAATATGGTACAGCCTGTTATCGTAAGAACCCTGCTCACTTTCAGGAATATCGGCACCCAGGTATTTATGTATATACATTTAAAATAAGCTTAATTTATTTAAGCCGAAATTTAAAAATGTGAGAAATCATGCTCATTTATATGTGCATGATCAGGGCTGTTAACCCCCCACGTCTTCAAATATTGAGAGTTGATGGGGAAGGGATGATAGGTGACGTCATAATGCAGGGTGCATTACATCATTTGTGAAAAAAAAAAAACGTGTGAAAAAGATGATGTCATAATATTGCTTATATTACAATGGCCTACCTGAGATTGTGAGGAAATGTTCGATGTTAACAGTAAAATAGCTTAAGCAATGCAAAATATTTGAGACTTCATTGTCAGAAAGTCGAGTCTACAAGAAATGACAAACTTCGGCAATTGTCCAGGAGATTTCATACTCTAATCTGGAGACCAGTAGAAATGGATCAAAATCTGGAGTCTCCTGGATTATCCGGAAGAGTTGACAGCCCTGATGATCATGATTTTTAACATCAGCTTGCAATGGGCTCCTGACATAAGATACCGTTAAGATACATTGTTTCTGAATATTTGGGTATTGCCATTACCTGTGGCTGTAGCTGAACCAGTAATATGGGAATACTGCCCTTACAGACCTGCCAACCCCTAATAAAGGAAAATCTGGAGACTCATGGAAAAAATCGGGAGATTCTACAAAAAGTACAGTTGTGATATTCTGTTTTTTTCTGACTTGAGACAAGACCTTTTTCCCCTAGGGTAAATGAATCTTGATGGTTAATTTCTGTACTAGCCTTAACGATAAATAAAAGAACAAATCCCACAGTTCGGTAAGTATTTAGCAGAGTGATAATTTTTATTAGTTGATCACTTTAGTTTATGTTACTAGCATTCCCCATTAAATTTCCTTTTTTATGCAACAAGGTAACATTACATTTCAAATTGATTTTTTTCCCAAAAACCATGAGATTGGTAGTCTTGTCGTGAGGCTGTGAGAAAAGACAAAATATAATGAGACTCATGGCAGAGTTGTGAGGGTTGGCAAGCCTGCCTTTAACCTGCAGAAGTCATCCCCAGTAAGGGGCGGGGGGCACTCCTTATAAAGACATATGCAGGGAGGCTCCACCTGAAACGGGTACCAATTTCAGGCCTCGGGTATATTAAAGTGTAGATAAATCTATCTTTATGTATTATTAGGTCAAAAAGATGTGCCTTATTACGTGTATGGCTTTATCATTTAAATTTACCTGAGCTTACATGAAAATGACAAGAAGACTTGTTTTAGCAATTTATGTTGTCTTATTACAATAGATATGTGAAAAAGGTACCATTTTTCAATGGAAGGTAATAGTTATAAATGAAAGGAGCTTTTTAATTCCTATCAAAAATAGTATTTAAAAGGGTAAGAGATTGGACCTCGAGGCAGAGTCTCCCATACATATTCTTGCTGAGTAGTCCCTAGGGAAGTCAGCTAGGCATCTGGTCCAGTATGATGCCATCTGTAGAAAAGGAATCTGGTTGTTTTGCTCAAAAGTCGATTTGCTCAATAAATCGGGTTTAAATAAATATCTCCTCATGGCAAATACATTGTATGTTCCTCTGTACCCATAGGCAGAAATGAGTGGGTTCCAAGGTTCCTAAATAATCCATTCCAAGTCCATAAAATGAAAATGCTATTCTGTATTCTTGCTGTAAGTAATCTATCAAACAATCACCTCCCACTCAAACCTGAGCAAAAACTTTGCGAAGAATTTGACTCAGGGCTTGAGAAAGTACTGTCCGGTAGTCTGGAATAAGTAGGTAGATTTTTTTGGTCTGGGCAAGTAACTTAAGGTGCTTTTCAAAAGTCAGAACTGGCCGGTCAGACCAAGACAGGATCGGTCATTTTGAAAAATAAATAAGCTTCTTCAAAGGGTTTTTGATGAAACACAATTTCCTTCATGCATACCATTTAAGATTTGACTGATCTGGCAAGATGGTTTTGATTAAAGGTGAAATTCTCAATACGACGGGAATGGCTTGGGTTGTCACTTCTGAAAAATGGAAAGTGCCCTTAATTAAAGCTCACTTTCCCAATGAGTCTAAGCAAATTATCCTTTAAAAAAATCATTATTTAACTTAATAAACTGTGTAAAACAAACAAGAAGTTTTCTGGGCTAGCAAAATGTGAGAGCTGCTCATCCAATGGATCCTTTTTTGAGCCCTTTAACTTTATGAGATTGTTGATGTTCCTAATGTGAAAACTAACACAGGTTATGACTCTGACACGGATGATGAAGAAGTGCAGAAATCCCCTCCAGCCAAGCGAAAAAGGCTAGAAAATAGCCCAGCTGCTTGTGAGCCTTCGACATCATCAGCCTCCAGCAATACTACTGACATGGAGAGATGTAACATTTTTCCTATTATGCGTTCTTGTGTAACCATTTAAATTAGTTTATACTTCTTTTTCTTTTGTTTAGTCTTTTTTTTACCGTTAAAAGCGCCCTCGTTAGCGTTTCTTTGCTGTTTCATCTTGGAAGTTTCCATGTTCTAGGGTATTTTTTCTCAATATAACACTAAAAATCGTTATTCGCAGTCCGCTTCAGCAGTTTTCTCTCGTAACAATGTTAGTGTATTAAAGGTTATTTACTCTTATTTAATGTAACTTTTTTACTTTTTACCGGTTTCAATCCACGCGCGTTTTGCACTGAATAAATCTTCATTCTTATTTGTTCTACTTGATAGTATTGATATCATTTTTAAAAATTAAGTAACTTGGAAAATTTATTTTTAACAAATGATATTTAATATTGTAATCTAAAACCACTCAATGCTATTTCATTATTACCTCTTTGCTCTTTTGTAGATATCCTGTCAAGTCAGATGGGTGACTTAGAAGCCTCTGCACAGGTATAAAATATTGACATTAAAATCAATAATTAATTTGATACTAAAATTAATATTCATAAAACTAAAGTTCAAACGAGAGCTAAAATTGGAGACAAAGAAGGGGGTTTGGTAAATTGAATGTTTCCCTTTTTGTGGATATCCTATAGTAAAGATACTATTCTGTTTTTTTGTTGTTAAACTTCAGTTCAACTACATGTTTGACATACCCTGGCTGATTGAGCAGTATCCTGAAGCTAAGAGGTAAGTGGTTCATATGAAGATTTAGCGGAGGTTAGAAGCAAAGCTCCCATTAATAAATTCATAATTTATTCAAATAATAAACTTGTAAAGAAATCCATTAAGGATTGAGCCTGCAATCAGTTAATAACTGGTAACTTTTCAGTGAATTACTTCGGCTTCCAAAAAAAAAGGCAACCTCAATGGGTCAACACCTGAGCCCATGATACGATCATGTAATATATGTCTGCAGATACCCTGTTTTAACTGCTGTCAGTAATTTCTTGACCACGTCATGGATTTACAATGTCAGGTTGCAAGCTCCCACACTAGCTAGAGAGTGTGAGAGTGTAATAATTTTTTATTTAATATCAGGGGCTATTAGAGACTAATGTGAGTGTCTTCCCTACAAATAAACACATTTTACTGGCTGTAGAATGCATGAAATAGAGTTCTAATATGCAAACAATAATTACTGCATAAGCATTGTGCATCAAAATGTCTCGTAAATGTCTAGTTTCTGCCTAAGAACAGGGCTTGAAATAGCTGCTGTAACTACCAATGGCCAAATGGCAAGCCAAATTTTAGGTCTCTGGCAGACAAAAATAAACTAAAGGTAAACTGCCGAATGAATATAACATAATAAAGCCACATAAATTTTTTGTGACATTGTCTTTTCCTCTTACCATGCTTACGTACCTATCATTTCTTTCCACAAATCAATGGTTCCCATTGAAAATAATATGACAGAAGGGTCCCTCAACTGTAGCTTCTTCATAAAGTTTTCCGTGATATGCATTTTCCTCATGAAATTTTACCCAGCATTTTAGGGTCCCCAGCAAGGTTTTGTTGATGTTTATTTATCTCTTTACAAACTTTGACAAGAGGCCTGGATAACTCACACAGCAAGGTCCACCATGAGGCCCAGATTTATAAGTGATTCATTCATGCATGGATAATATTATGAATGCCTGCAATGTGTGGCAATACAATTAGAACATTGTTCACGGGTAAAGTCTAATAATTTCCATCGCTGTCACCCGCTTTTCTTTTGCACTTCAGTCCCCCTGGAGTTTAAAAATCCACCTTTTTTGAAAGTGAGAGTTTCTAAACCAGATCTATTTAACACAGGTCCAAGCCACTGCTTATTGTTCATGGTAATCAAAGGGAAACCAGTGCCAATATTCGCAGAGAAGCTGAGCCATATCCAAACATTAAACTGTTTGGTGTAAGTATAAGAGTGCCATTGCATGTTAATGGTACAGTAGAATTAACCCACCTTATAACCACAAAATTCATACCACCACCTTGTTACTACAACCATATTATTTTAAGACTAAAAAACTGTCGGTCATTTTCTCTTCCCAAACTATTGTTAATGAGTCCACCTTGTCAATATGACCACAAAATTATTTTATGACCCATAAGGCAGCCTACATCACATCTTGTGACATACAGTAAAGGGAGGGGGGGGCATACAGATGATTTTATCACAACCAAAACTTCTTGGATGCACAGATAACAAAATTTTATTAGCCATGGTGCTTTGCTTTGTGTGTGTGCACGTGAGGACTCTGCTAGAGTTGTTGTCACAATTGTAGGAAAAACTGTCAGATTGATAGCTTTAAATTAACCTTTATTAATTCATAGTGGCCAACTGCTTAGGTTTATGAAATAGATAAAATTACTTAATGTTTAATTGAAACAGTACTCATAGGCCACCAGGTACTGCAGTCCACAGCCCAATTTCTCCTGGGATGACTGTAATACCCATGAAAATTTAAAAACAAAAGTTATGGAAAATTTTGGGAGGAACTACAGCTGTGTCTAAAACTGTACCAATATTTCTCTTGATAGGCCAGGCTAGAAGCATTTGGGACACACCATAGGTCAGTGTCAATTGAGTTAAAATAAGACTTGCATAATCACAACAAAAGTAATAGTGCTGTTGTTGTTAGCTTAGTTTTTTCTTTACAGTGACATGTAACGTACAGGTCTTGTAAGAACTTTTGGCCACTCTTGCAATGTATTACAGATTATTAAAATTGCCCCTGTATTTTTCAGCAAAATGATGTTCCTGTTGTATAAAGAAGGACTTAGAGTGGTTATCACAACTGCAAACTTGATATCTATGGACTGGGATCAGAAAACACAAGGGTAAAGTGTTTTTCAAAGATTTTTAAATTGATTTTTCCGTTTCAAGTTTTTGTTAAGTTCTTATTGTTTGGGAGTATTTTTACAATGAAACACTTGTATTTTATCAAACTTGACATGAAACGGTACCAACGAGTATTGCGGCCACTCTCTCTACCCTAAAAGGTTCCCTCCTGCATTACCCCCTCCCCCCAGCATTCACCATGCGTTATCATCATCATCATCATCATCATCGTCGTTATCGTCAGCATCATAATTATCATAATTATCATCATAATTTATCATCATCATCATCATCATCATTGTCAGCATCATCTTTTGACACCTGGTCACCATGGTTTTTTTATTCGAGGAACTGGTCTGTCAGACCATTGCTGTCTTTCTTTTCTCCGAGTTGACTTTTCTCTGAGTTAGTGTAAACAGGACGTTTTAAGCTTACCAGGCCTCCTTTTCCCATTTCCAAGGGTGTGTAAAGCGTAACTTTCAAGTTAGTTCATGTAATACGCGCAATACTTATATGACCGAGGAACTTATGCTGACACTGTTGTGCGTTAATTGTATCTTTCTAATAAGAGGCACTGTCTTGATGCGCGGGTGTACTTCAGCAATTGACACTCTGTCAGATCGTTTAATACCCAGTATTATCCAGTAAAGCGATGTCGCGAAAGCGTTGATCTTTTTTCCTCAGTGTTATCCTTTTGATAACCATATTCATTCCTTTAGTTAAAAGATAAAGAAACATCACTGGCTGCACTTTTATTGATTATTTTAGTGTTTGGATGAGCCCATTATTTCCAAAGGTGTCATCTTCTTCAACAAAGTCAACACCAACTAATTTTAAAGAGGATCTGTTGGTTAGTAGTTAAAAGTGTTAAAAATCTGTCTTGACTACTTTGGGGCAGAGAAGGAGATAACAGAACATGCGGTGTTGTAGTAGTTTTGATGTAAATTGCAGATCAGTATCACGTACTGCTCGTGTGTATAAAGTTAAAGAAAGTATCCGACAATTCTAACCAATCTAACTATCTAACTCAATCGAATAAGGTTCAAGATTATCATCTTTGACCGTGTGAGGTTTAAAAAGCGGGCAAATAGTTGGTTGTAGGTACATTAGTTTCTGCAAGCTGGTTTTCCTTTTTTGCCCTTTACAAAGGTTTGCATACCTGTACGTTGTAAAAAGAGCGGTCGATTTTCGTGATCTTGAAATGATAACACACGAACAAATTTTTGGAGAAACAGTCAAACAAGAATGTAACAATTTGATTAGTTTAATGAACGTAGTGGGGACTTAAATGGGCGCCGCTTTTTGTTGGTTTAGCGGACACGCAAAGCCAAAGATTACCGGAAGTTGTTTTCCGTAACTTGAGATACAGGAAGAGGCTGCTGATGAGACAATCGAGTGCTTTTGTTTTCCTCGGCGAAAAAAACAAGACAAAACAAAACAAAAATCCCTGTTTTGATCCTTTTAGCTAATGGCTGTAGATAAAAAAATTAATAACACTCGTGGAAACAATTTTTCCTGGTTGAACGAAAATCACTCTATCTGTTTTATTTTGTAGTGGAATTTTGTCGATAAGTACTGTACTGTTTATTGTAGGATTACTTATCGGCATATGGAGGGAATTCATTGGATGAGTGGAAAAAGCATATACGCGAACATGACATGTCCTCTGCAAGGTTTTTGTTTAGAAAGACGTTTTTCGTTTCCGTTTGGGACTGGGTCCAGTTGGGTTGTTCAGGATGAAAGATATTTTTGACGTTGAAAGGGGATACAAAGTAAAATAACCCAACTCCGTCATACTAAAGACAGCATTCGCCGATTTCAACTCGTAGGGTTTTCAATTGCAGCCCTAATTTGGGTCTCAGTTGGGCTTTGTTCAGAAGGAAGAGCAGATATTTATACGAGGAAGGGGTCTTATAAGACGTGTCTTAAAAGGAAGCGAATGTACCATTTAAAGTAAAAATAAACCCAACTCCGTCATACTAAAGACAGCATTCAATTTTAACGTCGTTCGCTCAATTTAAATCACTACAGGTCTAAATTGGTTCTGGGAATTAGTTGCCCGTTTTAGCTTAGTGTGAGTTACGCTTGGAATGGTCTCTTTGACTAGTATAATTCTTATTTTCCGACTGGCATCTCGGTCTCCCATATGGGCGTCAACCTGCCCCCGCCCCCACGCCTCCCGGGATGACTTTTGCCTTGGTTAAGAATGTTTACTGTAGGTAACCTCTACTATTGTCATGGATATTAACTGGTAAATCAATTTTCATTAATATATAAACAACAGAAAAGAAGAATAAAAATAATCGCGATTAATTTTTCGCTTTGTAATATAACGCTTGGTAATTCTGGTGGAGCATTCGTAATACCCAGCTTTGTTGCAGTGTCCGATTGATTGCTTCAGTTCCTGGAAGACACACAGGACTCAACAAAACCAAGTGGGGACATCTCAAGCTGCGTAAGGTAATGTTTTCCTTCCATTGGCCATTTTCAACTGTTGCGCGAGGAGAGTTGGTCCTGACTAGTCCCTAGTCCTCTTTATTTCTGAGGACGGATCGTGATCAAAGGGAGCGCGAGGGGTGATGGAAAGGAGGCGCATCTCTCGTTAATAAGGAGCTTAAACAACGACGACGGCGACGTCAACGAGAACAACAAAAAGACTTCTCACAACCTGCAAGAATCTGATTTCTTACATTTGGTTTGTGGGTGGTAAAACGCGCAACACCACTATTCAGTTTTGCAGTAATGTTGCGAAACAAGTTGCAAGTTTTAGCTGCCCGTTTTACCCTACGCCATGGGTTCTATAGGCCTGTTTTGGGAACAATGCCGCTTCTTTTATTTTCTATTAATGGGTTATGTTATACCGGAAACTGGGTCCCATAGTGTAGTTGGACACAACACCGACCCATTAGTAATCGCAAAAGCAAGATGGCCATATAAATAGACCTTTTTAACGATGCGGCGGCGTTATGGAATTAATTATATTTAAGAAGTACTATGGGATGCTCAGGGAGCATGAGCACTATGTGATATGTTCGCTCAGAATTTACGCCCGCTTTTAGGGCCAATTTTTTTTTTTAAGTTTTCCTAGAAAAAGATTGTAATGGGAAAAAAGATCATTTTGCCGTGTTTGGATATAGTAGTGATCGCCTTTTTTCCGAGAAATATACAATGAAGTTCTCTTTCTGCCCGAAAACTGCGTGTAAATACTGAGCAAGTGCCCCCTGGGCATCCCATAATACTCCTTAAATCCAATAAATTCAATATGGCCGCCGTATCAGTAAAAGGGTCTATTGGTTGACTTAAAAATTTGCGTGCCGCTTGCACAACAGAAAAAGTACTTGCTTGGTATTTTGAACAAAACCGTCGATTACCCCAACAAAGCATCTTTAAATGAACAACATCACACGGTTTACTACAGAACAGATGCCTTACCATGAATAATTTCATCAGGTATTACATCAATATGGTCCTGTCGCGGATGATATCAGCGCCAAGTGGCCCGTGATTGGTCAGTTTTCTAGCATAGGATCCCTTGGGAATGACAAGGATCGTTGGCTGTGTGCTGAGTGGCTGCAAAGTTTATCAACTTGTTCTGGCAGCATGATGTCAAAGCCCCCGCTGCGTCTGGTAGGCATACAGCTATTTCGAGAAAGGTTGTCGGAAAAAAATGTGTACGCGACAATCCCGAAAGGTAATATGGGATTTGAGTAATAACCTGTTCCTGACACAGTAGCTGTCGAACCTACTATTGTTTTTTTCCTTTAGCAATTATAAACATAAGTCCATGGCCTCTCGTGTCATTCTTGCAAATTTCTTTGAAGAACAGTGAACTCAAAACGACCCACAATACCTTTCGGCATTGTCGCGTGCACTTTTTCCGACAACCTTTCTCGAAATAGCTGTATACGTTTGTACCTCACCTGGTCCTCTAATAAATAATTCCGCTTTACGATGCTGTAGTAATAAAAAAGGACGAATTGCAATCTAGTGCTGAATGACTAATTAGTCGCTAGAGACCTTTAGACTCTGAAACGATTGCGTCATTTTGGCGGGAAAATGTGATTGCCGTGGTCATTCTACTACGAGTTTTAGCGTGATTGTCGTGGTGGCGGAAACAAGTTATCAAATGTTAGAAGTTTTAGCATTTTGCGATCCGAAGAGGGCTTAACCTCCTGCAATAAAGATAACAGTGCTAATTTTTTTTGACTGAAGTTATGATCATCGTTTGTTCCTATCACTGCAGATTTTTCCAACTGTGGATGTTGTTCGTAATAGCTTGGAAGGCTATCCAGGTATGGCGTAGATTTTGAAATTATTAGTAAGTATTTACAGCTCTTACTCGGTGTAAAAACCTGTGAACCTCACGAGCGACGTAAAACAATTTTATTAATACAAAGAAGCCAGTGAAAAGTCAAAACAATAGAACCAAGGAAAATAATAGCTAGAAAACAAAGAAAAACTTCACAGGTTTTTACACCGAGGATGACCCCAATTTACTGAATTTGGGAATGGACAGTTGTATGAAAGAAATTCATGCTAATATTTGCCCCACCTTCATAGTATACACTGGGAAGCTAGTACATAATAGTGACGACTAATATAATCTTGATTGCTGTATTCCAAAGTGTTAGGATACTGTCTTGTAACGTTTTTCTGACTGGCTGTCAACACTGAGGTTCCCGAGAACATTAGTACCTGGTTACCGGCACAAAAACTGGGTTGTCTTCACACCTTGAGTGCCCGATATATAACTGTGTACATAGTCCTGTGAGGCGCCATCAGTTGAAACTTCATCTTAACAGGGATAACAAGCAGTTGATTGCCCCGGACCTAACACACAGGGACCAGAATCACAACAGCCTACTGGAAGCCAAATTATTAAAAAAAATTGTATGAAAATCTATCTTAAGATCGATAAAAGCGGCTAACGCCGTTTATAGGGCAGGAAACAGTAAGAGAACAACACAGGCACAACTTTTTATGAGGTATGTATACTTAAATAGCTGCTTTTGTACACTTTAACCGTTTTATCGATCTTAAGATGAATTTCCATACAAATCGTCATGATTTGGCTTTGATTCTGGGCTCCCTGTGGAACTAACAACAACGGTATGCCATAGGGACCCAGTGCTCACTCTAGTACCCGGCGCTTGAATTTGGGCGTGAGTACTTGAAAAAGGGTGTGTTCACATTAGTGCCCAATGAGTATCGTGCGTGGGCCCCACACCAAGTGTAAACGCGGCCTTAGATTTGTTTTCCTTTCTTCTTTTAAGCTGGAGGTTCACTTCCTTATAGTTCAAGTACCGCAGCAAAGCAACCTTACCTCACAAACTTCCTTTGGTAAGTAGACATATGTTTTATTATTCTACTATTATGTCATTTTACCATATAAGGTCAAGAGAACAAGCAAAATACGAGGCCGTAATACACCGTAGTGTCCTGGTTTAACCGGTTTACAACAGGGCGAATACTACGCAAGTCGCAAAATATCCGCACGTATTATATGCTAAACCATCGAATAAGGTGTATGTATTACATATGCCACCAAATGCACTCTTCAGGTACCTACCTTGAGGACATTCCAATATCCCGCAGAAACATCGATCAACGGTTTAGCTGCCACGTAGCGTACAGGCATTTTCTATAAATTAAGGCACTACATGTCCCTGTCTCAACTCAAACAGCTATATTATAACCTTCATATTTCCTCTTATTTCGTATGCCATATTAGCATGGGGTAGTGCCTATCAATTGCAGATCAACAAAGTCCAACTAAAACAAAATACAGTAATTAGAGTAATGTTCTTCGCCGTAACTCACGGGAAGAACACAGAAAGCGCTCTTTCTCTCATGAATCTATTCAACGTGTTGTTAATGAAATCTGTCCACCAGCTACAGGCCCTTAAATTTTCCTTCCGTTGGCACAAAAAAGGAGTTGCCAAGCATTTTTCAAAATTATTTCCAGTATGCCGATCAAGTGCGCAACTATAATACACGATATGCCCCAAAAGAGAACTTTTATAAGCCACGCACAAGAACGAATATTGGAAAACAATCAATCCAATCCATAGCTGTTGACCTCGGGAAAAATCTTCCCCTTCATTTGAAAGACCTCCCAAATTACTCCTTCCCACGCTTACTAAAACATCATCTACTGATTAGACAATTTGAAAGTTAGCCATATTCGTTCTTTTCAATCTCCATATTGCTGGTTTTCACATGACGTCACTAAAATTCAAACTACAAAACTATCGATCCTACCGTGATTTTACTTTCACGATGTCTTAGAGCAGCTAAAAATAATTTTCATACAAATTTTCGCTTCAAAAGGGTTCTTGGTTTTGTGATAGAGTACGCTTGAATTTCTAATCTTTTGCGTGACGCGGTATTTACGGCCAAGAGAGCTGTCATGTAGGTTAAAAAAAGGACTTATTTCAGGGAATTTTCCTATCTAAACAGTTCATGTATTAGAAAAATGTATTAATGAAAAAGAATAAATTACTTTTTGGCAAAATGTTTATGAATTCTTCAGAAGAATAAATTCATATAACGCTCTATAAATTTTTGTGGAAAAAACCTGAAAGGCATATTTACGTCCTTTCATTTCCCAGACGGACTTTAAAACGGTTTTGATTTTAAGATCTATTTTCATCAACCTGAAAACCCAATAGTGTGTAATGTGTGTTATTTACTTACTTACTTAAACATCTTTGTTATAAAAAAATGCATAGCACGAAATCGTAAGTTCATTTATGTAACAATTCTTCTTTTCTTTTCATTAGCTATCAAAACATGTAAAAATTCTCCATTGGATGTAATAGCAAAGGTTTTTGTTGTTGTTGTTGTTGTTGTTGTTATTGTTTAGCTGTTGCTCTTTACCTTCACTAAAATTGTTTCAATCTATTTTAATAATCATATTTTATTAGTTCTTGGAAATCCCGTTCCTGTGGAAGAACTCGTGCCTCTCCTCACATAAAAACGTACACAAGAGCATCTCCCGACTGGACACAGGTGGCCTGGTTTCTAATGACAAGGTAAGCTAGAGCTACGTGGTAACAAAAACTACAACTTGAGATCAGTTTTCCTGTCCATGAACACAGGAAGACATATAAATACCGCAACTTTATATCAACTTTCCTGCAGATAAGCACATGAAGATAAATACATCCCGCAACTTTATATAACCTTTCCTACAGATGAACGCGTGATAATATATACATACCGCAACTTTATGTCAACTTTCGCGTCGACGAACACGTAAAGATATATACCGACCGCAACTTTATATTAACGTTCATGCAGATGAACACGTGATAATAAACATGCCACAACTTCTATGAACTTTCCTGCAGATAAGCACGTGATGATATATACATACCGCAACTTTATATAAACTTTTCTGCAGATAAACACGTGGTAATATATACATGTTACAACTTTATATTAATTTCCTGCAGATGAACATGTGATGATATATACATACCGCAACTTTATATGAACTTTTCTGCAGATGAACACGTGGTAATATATACATGTTACAACTTTATATCAACTTTCCTGCACACGAACACGTGATAATATATGCATACGGCAACTTTATATCTACTTTTCGGCAAATGAACACGTGATAATATATACATACCGTAACTTTATATCAACTTTCCCGTCAATGAACACCTAAAGATATATGCAGACCGCAACTATATATTAACATTCATGCAGATCAACACGTGATAATATAACCCCGCCGCAACTTTTAACAACTTTCCTGCAGGTGAACACGTGATGATATACGCATTCCACAACTTTATATATACTCTCCTAAGGATGACCACATGATGAGATATACATACTGCAACTTTATATCTACTTTTCTGTAGATGAACACGTGATAATATAGAATATAGACATACCGCAACTTTATGCCAAATTTCCTGCCGATAAACACCTGATGATATATACATACCGCAACTTTATATAACCTTTCCTGCACACGAACACGTGATAATATATACATACCGCAACTTTATATGAACTTTTCTGCAGACGAACACCTGATGATATATACATACCGTAACTTTATATGAATTATCCTGGAGATGAACACGTGATCATATATATATACCGCAACTTTATATCAATTTTCCTGCAGATAAACACCTGATGATATATACATGCCGCAACTTTATATCAAACTTTCCTGCACACGAACACGTAATAATATATACATACCGCAACTTTATATGAACTTTTCTGCAGATGAACACATGGTAATATATACATGTTACAACTTTATATTAACTATCCTGCAGATAAACACCTGATGATATGTACATACCGCAACTTTATATCAACTTTTCTGCAGACGAAAACCTGATGATATATACATACCGTAACTTTATATGAGTTATCCTGCAGATGAACATGTGATCATATATATATACCGCAACTTTATATCAATTTTCCAGCAGATAAACACGTGATGATATATACATACTGCAACTTTATATCAACTTTCCTGCACATGAACACCTGATGATATATCCATACCGCAACTTTATATCAATTTTCCTGCAGATAAACATGTGATGATATATACATACCGCAACTTTATATCAACTTTCCTGCAGATGAACTCCTGATGATATATACATACCGCAACTTTATATAACCTTTCCTGCAGATGAAAACGTGATGATATATACATACCGCAACTTTATATCAACTTTCCTGCAGATGAAGACCTGGTGATATATACATAGCGCAACTTTATATCAACTTTCCTGCAGATGAACACCTGATGATATATACATACCGGAACTTTATATCAACTTTCTTGGAGATAATCACCTGATGATATATACATACCGCAACTTTATATCAATTTTCCTTTAGATGAACTATTGATGATATATATATATACCGCAACTTTATATCAATTTTCCTGGAGATGAACACCTGATGATATATACATACCGCAACTTTATATCAACTTTCCTGCAGATGAACACCTGATGATATATACATAGCACAACGTTATATCAACTTTCCTGCAGATGAACACGTGATGATATATACATACCGGAACTTTATATCAACTTTCTTGGAGATAATCACCTGATGATATATACATAGCGCAACTTTATATCAATTTTCCTTTAGATGAACTCTTGATGATATATACATACCCTAACTTTATATCAATTTTCCTGGAGATGAACACGTGATGATATATACATACCGCAACTTTATATCAACTTTCCTGCAGATGAACACCGGATGATAAATACATACCGCAACTTTATGTCAATTTTCCTGCAGATGAACACCGGATGATACTTATATACCGCAACTTTATATCAATTTTCCTGACGTTGAACACCTGATGATATATATATACCGCAACTTTTTATCAATTTTCCGGCAGATGAACACGTGATGATATATACATACCGCAACTTTATATCAACTTTCCTGCAGATGAACATGTGATGATATATACATACCGCAACTTGATATCAACTTTCCTGCGGATGAACACCTGATGATATATAGATACTGAAAGTTTATATCAACTTTCCTGCTGATGAACACCTGACGATATATACATACCGCAACTTTATATCAATTTTCCTGCAGAAAAACACGGGAGGATACGTAGATATCGCAACTTTATATCAACTTTCTTGGAGATAATCACCTGATGATATATACATACCGTAACTTTATATCAATTTTCCTTTATATGAACTCTTGATGATATATATATATATACCGCAACTTTATATCAATTTTCCTGGAGATGAACACCTGATGATATATACATACCGCAACTTTATATCAACTTTCGTGCAGATGAACAGGTGATGATATATACATAACGCAACTTTATATCAATTTTCCTGCAGAAAAACACCGGATGATATGTAGATATCGCAACTTTATATCAACTTTCTTGGAGATAATCACCTGATGATATATACATACCGTAACTTTATATTAATTTTCCTTTAGATGAACTCTTGATGATATATATATATATACCGCAACTTTATATCAATTTTCCTGGAGATGAACACCTGATGATATATACATACCGCAACTTTATAGCAACTTTCCTGCAGATGAACACCTGATGATATATACATAGCGCAACTTTATATCAACTTTCCTGCAGATGAACACGTGATGATATATACATACCGGAACTTTATATCAACTTTCTTGGAGATAATCACCTGATGATATATACATACCGCAACTTTATATCAATTTTCCTTTAGATGAACTATTGATGATATATATATATACCGCAACTTTATATCAATTTTCCTGGAGATGAACACCTGATGATATATACATACCGCAACTTTATATCAACTTTCCTGCAGATGAACACCTGATGATATATACATACCACAACTTTATATCAACTTTCCTGCAGATGAACACCTGATGATATATACATACCCCAACTTTATATCCATTTTCCTCCAGATGAATACGTGATGATTTATACATACCACAACTTTATATCAATTTTCCTGCAGATGAACACGTAATGATATATACATACCGCAACTTTATGTCAACTTTCCTGCAGATGAACACCTGATGATATATACATACCGCAACTTGATATCAATTTTCCAGCAGATGAACACGTGATGATATATACATACCGCAGCTTTATATCAACTTTCCTGCACATGAACACCGGATGATATATACATAGCGCGACTTTATATCAATTTTCCAGCAGATGAACACGTGATGATATATACATATCGCAACTTTATATCAATTTTCCTGCAGATAAACACCTGATGATATATAGATACCGCAACTTTCTATCAACTTTCCTGGAGATAATCACCTGATGATATATACATACCGCAACTTTATATCAATTTTCCTTTAGATGAACTCTGGATGATATATACATACCGCAACTTTATATCAATTTTCCTGGAGATGAACACGTGATGATATATACATACCGCAAGTTTATATCAACTTTCCTGCAGATGAACACCTGATTATATATACATAGCGCAACTTTATATCAATTTTGCAGCAGATGAACACGTGATGATATATACATACCGCAATTGTATATCAACTTTCTTGCAGTTGAGCACCTGATAATATATATATACCGTTGCTTTATATCAATTTTCCAGCTGATGAACACGTGATGATATATACATACCGCAACTTTATATCAACTTTCCTGCAGATGAACACGTGATGATATATACATACCGCAACTTTATATCAACTTTCCTGCAGATGAACACCTGATGATATATACATACCGCAACTTTATATCAATTTTCCTGCAGATGAACACCTGATGATATATACATACCGCAACTTTATATCAATTTTCCTGCAGATGAACACGTAATGATATATACATACCGCAACTTTATATCAACTTTCCTGCAGATGAACACCTGATGATATATACATACCGGAACTTGATATCAATTTTCCGTAGATGAACACGTGATGATATATACATACCGCAACTTTATATCAATTTTCTATCAGATGAACAGCTGATGATATATACATACCGGAACTTGATATCAATTTTCCAGCAGATGACCACGTGATGATATATACATACCCCAGCTTTGTATCAACTTTCCTTCAGATGAACACGTGATGATATATACATACCGCAACTTAAGATCAACTTTCTTGCAGATGAACACCTGATGATACAACATAGCGCAACTTTATATAAATTTTCCAGCAGATGAGCTCGTGATGATAGATACATACCGCAACTTTATATCAACTTTCTTGCAGATGAACAGGTGATGATATATACATAACGCAACTTTATATCAATTTTCCTGCAGATAAACACCTGATGATATTTACATACCGGAACTTTATATCAACTTTCTGGGAGATAATCACCTGATGATATATACATACCGCAACTTTATATCAATTTTCCTTTAGATGAACTCTTGATGATATATATATACGGCAACTTTATATCGAGTTTCCTGGAGATGAACACGTGATGATATATACATACCGCAACTTTATATCAACTTTCCTGCAGATGAACACCTGATGATATATACATAGCGCAACTTTATATCAACTTTCTTGCAGATGAACACGTGATGATATATACATAACGCAAGTTTATATCAATTTTGCTGCAGATAAACACCTGATGATATATACATACCGCAACTTTATATCAACTTTCTCGGAGATAATCACCGTATGATATATACATACCGTAACTTTATATCAATTTTTCTGGAGATCAACACGTGATGATATATACATACCGCAACTTTATATCAACTTTCCTGCAGATGAACACCTGATGATATATACATACCGCAACTTTATATAAATTTTCCTGCAGATGAACACCGGATGATACTTACATACCGCAACTTTATATCAATTTTCCTGCAGTTGAACACCTGATGATATATATATACCGCAACTTTATATCAATTTTCCGGCAGATGAACACGTGATGATATATACATACCGCAACTTTATATCAACTTTCCTGCAGATGAACACCTGATGATATATACATACCGCAACTTTATATAAATTTTCCTGCAGATGAACACCGGATGATACTTACATACCGCAACTTTATATCAATTTTCCTGCAGTTGAACACCTGATGATATATATATACCGCAACTTTATATCAACTTTCCTGCAGATGAACACGTGATGATATATACATAACGCAACTTTATATAAATTTTGCTGCAGATAAACACCTGATGATATATACATACCGCAACTTTATATCAACTTTCTCGGAGATAATCACCGTATGATATATACATACCGCAACTTTATATCAATTTTCTATCAGATGAACAGCTGATGATATATACATACCGGAACTTGATATCAATTTTCCAGCAGATGAACACGTGATGATATATACATACCCCAGCTTTATATCAACTTTCCTTCAGATGAACACGTGATGATATATACATACCGCAACTTAAGATCAACTTTCTTGCAGATGAACACCTGATGATAAAACATGGCGCAAGTTTATATAAATTTTCCAGCAGATGAGTTCGTGATGATAGATACATACCGCAACTTTATATCAACTTTCTTGCAGATGAACAGGTGATGATATATACATAACGCAACTTTATATCAATTTTCCTGCAGATAAACACCTGATGATATTTACATACCGGAACTTTATATCAACTTTCTGGGAGATAATCACCTGATGATATATACATACCGCAACTTTATATCAATTTTCCTTTAGATGAACTCTTGATGATATATATATACGGCAACTTTATATCGAGTTTCCTGGAGATGAACACGTGATGATATATACATACCGCTACTTTATATCAACTTTCCTGCAGATGAACACCTGATGATATATACATAACGCAAGTTTATATCAATTTTGCTGCAGATAAACACCTGATTATATATACATACCGGAACCTTATATCAACTTTCTCGGAGATAATCACCGTATGATATATACATACCGCAACTTTATATCAATTTTTCTGGAGATCAACACGTGATGATATATACATACCGCAACTTTATATCAACTTTCCTGCAGATGAACACCTGATGATATATACATACCGCAACTTTATATAAATTTTCCTGCAGATGAACACCGGATGATACTTACATACCGCAACTTTATATCAATTTTCCTGCAGTTGAACACCTGATGATATATATATACCGCAACTTTATATCAATTTTCCGGCAGATGAACACGTGATGATATATACATAGCGCAACTTTATGTCAACTTTCCTGCAGATGAACACGTGATGATATATACATAACGCAACTTTATATAAATTTTGCTGCAGATAAACACCTGATGATATATACATACCGCAACTTTATATCAACTTTCTCGGAGATAATCACCGTATGATATATACATACCGCAACTTTATATCAATTTTCTATCAGATGAACAGCTGATGATATATACATACCGGAACTTGATATCAATTTTCCAGCAGATGAACACGTGATGATATATACATACCCCAGCTTTATATCAACTTTCCTTCAGATGAACACGTGATGATATATACATACCGCAGCTTAAGATCAACTTTCTTGCAGATGAACACCTGATGATACAACATAGCGCAAGTTTATATAAATTTTCCAGCAGATGAGCTCGTGATGATAGATACATACCGCAAGTTTATATCAACTTTCTTGCAGATGAACAGGTGATGATATATACATAACGCAACTTTATATCAATTTTCCTGCAGATAAACACCTGATGATATTTACATACCGGAACTTTATATCAACTTTCTGGGAGATAATCACCTGATGATATATACATACCGCAACTTTATATCAATTTTCCTTTAGATGAACTCTTGATGATATATATATACGGCAACTTTATATCGAGTTTCCTGGAGATGAACACGTGATGATATATACATACCGCTACTTTATATCAACTTTCCTGCAGATGAACACCTGATGATATATACATAGCGGAACTTTATATCAACTTTCCTGCAGATGAACACGTGATGATATATACATAACGCAAGTTTATATCAATTTTGCTGCAGATAAACACCTGATGATATATACATACCGCAACTTTATATCAACTTTCTCGGAGATAATCACCGTATGATATATACATACCGCAACTTTATATCAATTTTTCTGGAGATGAACACGTGATGATATATACATACCGCAACTTTATATCAACTTTCCTGCAGATGAACACCTGATGATATATACATACCGCAACTTTATATAAATTTTCCTGCAGATGAACACCGGATGATACTTACATACCGCAACTTTATATCAATTTTCCTGCAGTTGAACACCTGATGATATATATATACCGCAACTTTATATCAATTTTCCGGCAGATGAACACGTGATGATATATACATACCGCAACTTTACATCAACTTTCCTGCAGATGAACATGTGATGATATATACATACCGCAACTTTATATCAACTTTCCTGCAGATGAACATCTGATGATATATACATACTGTAAGTTTATATCAACTTTCCTGCAGATGAACACCTGATGATATATACATACCGCAACTTTATATCAACTTTCCTGCAGATAAACACCTGATGATATATACATACCGCAACTTTATATCAACTTTCCTGCTGATGAACACCTGATGATATATACATACCGCAACTTTATATCAATTTTCCTGCAGATGAACACGTGATGATATATACATACCGCAACTTTATATCAACTTTCCTGCAGATGAACACCTTATGATATATACATACCGCAACTTTATATCAATTTTTCTGCAGATGAATACCTGATGATATATACATACCGCAACTTTATATCAACTTTCCTGCAGATGAACATGTGATGATATATACATGTTGCAACTTTATATCAACTTTACTGCAGATGGACACGTGATGATATCTACATACCGCAACTTTATATCAACTTTCCTGCAGATGAACACCTGATGATATATACACACGGCAACTTTACATCAATTTTCCTGCAGCGGAACACGTGATGATATATACATACACCAACTTTATATCAACTTTCCTGCAGATGAACACCTGACGATATATACATGGGGAAACTTTATATCAATTTTCCCGCAGTTGTACTCGTGATGATATATACATACCGCAACTTTAGATCAATTTTTTAGCAGATGAACACGGGATGATATATACATACCGCAACTTTATATCAACTTTCCTGCAGATAAACACGTGATGATATATACATACCGCAACTTTAAATCAACTTTCCTGCAGATGAACACCTGATGATATATACATACTGCAACTTTATATCAATTTTCCAGCAGATGAACACGTGATGATAGATACATACCGCAACTTTATATCAACTTTCCTGCAGATGAACAGGTGATGATGTATACATAACGCAACTTTATATCAATTATCCTGCAGATAAACACCGGATGATATGTAGATATCGCAACTTTATATCAACTTTCTTGGAGATAATCACCTGATGATATATACATACCGCAACTTTATATCAATTTTCTATCAGATGAACAGCTGATGATATATACATACCGGAACTTTATATCAATTTTCCAGCAGATAAACACGTGATGATATATAGATACCGCAGCTTTATATCAACTTTCCTGCAGATGAACACGTGATGATATATACATACCGCAACTTAAGATCAACTTTCTTGCAGATGAACACCTGATGATACAATATAGTGCAACTTTATATAAATTTTCCAGCAGATGAGCTCGTGATGATAGATACATACCGCAACTTTATATCAACTTTCCTGCAGATGAACAGGTGATGATATATACATAACGCAACTTTATATCAATTTTCCTGCAGATAAACACCGGATGATATATACATACCGCAACTTTATATCAACTTTCTGGGAGATAATCACCTGATGATATATACATACCGCAACTTTATATCAATTTTCCTTTAGATGAACTCTTGATGATATATATATACCGCAACTTTATATCAAGTTTCCTGGAGATGAACACGTGATGATATATACATACCGCAACTTTATATCAACTTTCCTGCAGATGAACACCTGATGATATATACATAGCGCAACTTTATATCAACTTTCTTGCAGATGAACACGTGATGATATATACATAACGCAAGTTTATATCAATTTTGCTGCAGATAAACACCGGATGATATATACATACCGCAACTTTATATCAGCTTTCTTGGAGATAATCACCGGATGATATATACATACCACAACTTTATATCAATTTTCTTTGAGATGAACTCTTGATAATATATATACATACCGCAACTTTATATCAATTTTCCTGGAGATGAACACGTGATGATATATTCATACCGCAACTTTATATCAACTTTCCTGCAGATGAACACCTGATGATATATACATACCGCAACTTTATATAAATTTTCCTGCAGAGGAACACCGGATGATACTTACATACCCCAACTTTATATCAATTTTCCGGCAGATGAACACGTGATGATATATACATCCCGCAACTTTATATCAACTTTCCTGCAGATGAACATGTGATGATATATACATACCGCAACTTTACATCAACTTTCCTGCAGATGAACACCTGATGATATATATATACTGTAAGTTTATATCAACTTTCCTGCAGATGAACACCTGATAATATATACATACCGCAACTTTATATCAACTTTCCTGCAGATAAACACGTGATGTTATATACATACCGTAACTTTATATTAACTTTCCTGCTGATGAACACCTGATGATACATACATACTGCAACTTTATATCAATTTTCCTGCAGATGAGCACGTGATGATATATACATACCGCAACTTTATATGAACTTTCCTGCAGATGAACACGTTATGATATATACATACCGCAACTTTATATCAACTTTCCTGCAGATGAACATGTGATGATATATACATGTTACAACTTTATATCAACTTTCCTGCAGATGAACACCTGATGATATATACATACCGCAACTTTATATCAATTTTCCTGCAGATGAACACGTGATGATATATACATACCGCAACTTTATATCAACTTTCCTGCAGATGAACACCTGATGATATATACATACCGAAATTTTATATCAATTTTCCTGCAGATGAACACGTGATGATATATACATACCGCAACTTTATATCAATTTTCCAGCAGATGAACACGTGATGATATATACATACCGCAACTTTATATCAACTTTCCTGCAGATGAACACGTGATGATATATACATACCGCAACTTTATATCAACTTTTTTGCAGATGAACACCTGATGATATATACATAGGGCAACTTTATATCAATTTTTCAGCAGATGAACACGTTGTGATAGATACATACCGCAACTTTAGATCAACTTTCCTGCAGATGAACAGGTGATGATATATACATAACGCAACTTTATATGAATTTTCCTGCAGATAAACACCGGATGATATGTAGATACCGCAACTTTATATCAACTTTCTTGGAGATAATCACCTGATGATATATACATACCGCAACTTTATATCAATTTTCCTTTAGATGAACTCTTGATGATATATATATATACCGCAACTTTATATCAATTTTCCTGGAGATGAACACCTGATGATATATACATACCGCAACTTTATATCAACTTTCCTGCAGATGAACACCTGATGATATATACATAGCGCAACTTTATATCAACTTTCCTGCAGATGAACACGTGATGATATATACATACCGGAACTTTATATCAACTTTCTTGGAGATAATCACCTGATGATATTTACATAGCGCAACTTTATATGAATTTTCCTTTAGATGAACTCTTGATGATATATACATACCGTAACTTTATATCAATTTTCCTGGAGATGAACACGTGATGATATATACATACCGCAACGTTATATCAACTTTCCTGCAGATGAACACCGGATGATATATACATACCGCAACTTTATATCAATTTTCCTGCAGATGAACACCGGATGATACTTATATACCGAAAGTTTATATCAATTTTCCTGCAGTTGAACACCTGATGATATATATATACCGCAACTTTATATCAATTTTCCGGCAGATGAACACGTGATGATATATACATACCGCAACTTTATATCAACTTTCCTGCAGATGAACACCTGATGATATATACATACCGCAACTTTATATCAACTTTCCTGCAGATGAACACCTGATGATATATACATACCGTAACTTTATATCAACTTTCCTGCAGATGAACACGTGATGATATATACATACCGCAACTTTATATCAACTTTCCTGCAGATGAACACCTGATGATATATACATACCGTAACTTTATATCAATTTTCCTGCAGATGAACACGTGATGATATATACATACCGCAACTTTATATCAACTTTTCTGCAGATGAACACCTGATGATATATACATACCGCAACTTTATATCAATTTTCCTGCAGATGAACACGTGATGATATATACATACCGCAACTTTATATAAACTTTCCTGCTGATGAACACCTGATGATATAGACATACCGTAACTTTATATCAACTTTCCGTCAGATGAACACGTGATGATATATACATAGCGCAACTTTATATCAACTTTCCTGCAGATGAACACGTGATGATATATACATGTTACAACTTTATATGAACTTTTCTGCAGATGAACACGTGATGATATATACATATTGCAACTTTATATCAACTTTCCTGCAGATAAACACGGAGGATATATACATACCGCAACTTTATATAAACTTTCCTGCTGATGAACACCTGATGACATATATAACCGTAACTTTATATCAACTTTCCGTCAGATGAACACGTGATGATATATACATACCGCAACTTTATATCAACTTTTCTGCTGATGAACACGTGATGATATATACATACCGCAACTTTATATCAACTTTCCTGCAGATGAACACGTGATGATATGTACATACCGCAACTTTATATCAAATTTCCTGCAGATGAACACGTGATGATATGTACATGTTACAATTTTATATCAACTTTCCATCAGATGAACACGTGATGAGATATACATACCGCAACTTTATATCAACTTTCCTGCAGAGGAAGACCTGATGACATATAGATACCGCAACTTTATATCAACTTTCCTGCAGATGAACACGTGATCATATATACATGGTACAACTTTATATCAACTTTTCTGCTGATGAACACCTTATAATATATACATACCGTAACTTTATATCAACTTTCCTGCAGATTAACACGTGATGATATATACATACCGTAACTTTATATTAACTTTCCTGCTGATGAACACCTGATGATACATACATACCGCAACTTTATATTAACTTTCCTGCAGATGATATCGTGATGATATATACATACCGCAACTTTATATCAACTTTCCTGCAGAGGAAGACCTGATGACATATACATACCGCAACTTTATATCAACTTTTCTGCAGATGAACACCTGATGATATATACATACCGTAACTTTATACCAACTTTCTTACAGAAGAACACGTGATGATATATACATACCGTAACTTTACATCAACTTTCTTGCAGATGAACCCCTTATGATATCTACATACTGCAACTTTATATCAACTTTACTGCAGATGAACACCTGATGATATTCACATACCGTAACTTTATACCAACTTTCCTGCACACGAACACGTGATGATATATACATACTGCAACTTTATATCAATTTTCCTGCAGATGAACACGTGGAAATATATACAGATTGCAACGTTTTTTCAACTTCCCTGCAGATGAACAGGTGTGGATATATTCATGCGGCAACTTTATATCATTTTTTGTTCGATGAAGACGTGATGATAGATATTTTTGCCGCAGCTTTATATCCAGTTTCCTGTAGATAAAGACGTGATAATTAATATATACATTATGCAAGTTGATATCAACTTTCTTGTACATACTGAAACTGTTCGTATAAGGACGTTTTGTTACAGAAAGCTTCAAATTCGTTGTATATTACGTCGAAACACGGCTGCCTTTTTGAGAATTTTTTCACGTATGCGCTTTTTGATCGCCTCTCACATTCCTTACTGGCGATCACGTGCAGAAATCGGATTTGACCAGATCTCGCCTTCCACTTTGTCGACATGAGATATGGGTACGAGATTACTGTAGATGAACACGTGATGATATATACATACCGCAACTTTATATCATCTTTCTTGTTGATAAACACTTGATGATATATACTTGTTGCAACTAATACTGTTCCTTCGATGAACACGTGATGATATATTCATGACGCAACTTTATATCAACTTTCCTGGTGGTGAATACGTTATAATAGGGAGCTTGAGCAACAGCATTTTTGAGCGACGGACGTGAACCGGAAGTAGACATTTTACATCATTGGTTAGTGGTTTGGTTGAAACTCTCGGGTAAACCGTGTTTATAAGAGAAAAGGAACTCAGCAATACAAATTTGTTAGAGTCAAGGCATATAAAAAGGGGTAAGGCGTCACTTCCAGTTAACGTGCGTCGCTCAAAAACGTATTTGGTTAAGTTCCCTAATATATACATGCCACAACTTTACATCACCTTTTTTTGTATAATATAGACTTTTTGTTTTGCTTGCAGTGGGTGTATTAATATGGTCATCTTTTTAGTAAAAATCTAATAAAGCAATGTGCATTATGGATATCTTATGAACTCGTTTTGACAGCTGATGCATTTGTTGTCAAAATGTCAGACATAAATTCTACAAAATGTTCTTTGGCTAGTGTAATTTCCCTCGTCTTCCTCTGTTCAGTTTGCTCCGCTATCTTATAGTTTTCGTTTATTTTTTGTTTTTTCTTTTAATTTCTTGAAACAATATCTGAGCGCGCGAAATTTATTATGGTCAAATCATCAAAAAACGCTCGTGTTTAGTGTAGGTTTCCAAGAGCGCGCGCACTGCCTTAATGTTAACCAAGGTAACCAAACTTGTTTAGATCCGTGGCTTAAGAAAATATGCTCAGATAGCTGATTGGTGGGAAAATTCACTTCACTGTTGACTGGCATTTTTGTAACGTGTAGTTAAGCAATGGAGTAAATAAAATGTTAAACATTAGCTCAAGTCTGCGTGGCGTTGTTAAAAAAAACGTTTTTGTTTGCAGTGTTTACAGCGCCTTCCTAGCGGGTAGAGAAATAGGAAAACTTTTTTTTTGGAAAGCTTTTCTTACCTTTTCATTGTCCATAAGTGAAAGGTCCAAACTTGAATGTGGTGATGTTTGTACGATGAGGGAAAACAATGGTTTTGCGCTCCTGTACAACGTTTGTCTTCTCGTTTGAACCGCGCGACTTTTTCCGTTAGTTAAAAGAACAAATGATGCCAAACCGTCACAATAGGGGATGATGATTCTCATCGCGCGCGCGCGCTCAGAAAGCTAGTTTTCAGGTCTCTTGTGGCCTGGAAGAAAGTAGCTTTGTGGATCTCCTGAGGCCTCGTTTTGATTATAGTAATGATCAAGTTGCGTTTACACCTTGTGCCCTTTATTACAGAGAAATGCATTTTTGTTTTATTTTTATTACATAAAATATTATTAATTTCAATTAATGTATAAACGGTTTATCCAAGAAAGGAAACATTTAATTTGTGGCCTAGCCATAAAAGATTATTGCATCAAGAAGGACAATCATTAAGGCCAGTTTCTATAGCCTTTTATCGAAAACAACATTCTTAGTGCGAATAAAGTTTCATTTTCCCTGGGTGAATGTTCGTTTATGACAATTATTATTTTTTTGAGTATTTTCTTGCCAATATCGCGTTGAATTTGAAGGTACGCTTTAATTCGGGGGCGAATTTTACAATGTACCTAAAATTCGTATTGCAGAAGTGGAGCGTATAGTACGTTGCATTCATTTTGTTAAGCTTGTACATGTATTTAATTTGCTACCGTTCTTGCACAAACAAACACGCGATGTGTACAATGTTCAGTCAAGTGCCTCTGCGTGTTTAAGAGCTTAAGGAAGGAAGGATTTAACGAAGTGGAAATTGATCATTTATTTCAGTCTTTAGTTTTACCTAAAATTTCGTATGGTTTACCGGTGAATGCAGCATCCGTGCCTGAACTTAATACTGTGCAGCAGTTCCTTCGCAGATGTCGTAAACGCCATTTTATATCCTATGCTTTAGATATATACGATTTGCTTGGGAAAAGAAAAACAGACAGGTCAATCTCCAAGAAGATTAGTTTCCTACCTACTCATCGGCAGTATAATTTGTTGACCAAAGGTAAAGAATCTTCAAAACGTCTGAGAACTCAAACAAGCCTACCCTGTGTTAATACGGAACGTTTTAAAGCTAGTTTTATTAATAAACCGTATTTTAAATATACTTTTACTTTTTAACCTAATAAATATATTAAACATGTAAATATAGGTATGTATTTTTACTCGTACATTCAATAAAGACTGAAAAGAAAGAAAAAAGACGTAAAAATACATCTAAAATCAGGGAGCAGAGAGATTAATAGTAAAAGTAACGACGCAAATCAAAACTCGAAAGCAAGCATATCGAACATCAGGTTTTTTTCCAACGCTACTACAATAATCATCAAAGGAGTTCGCTAAGTTTACACGCGGGTCCGGACAAATCAGGGGCTCCCAACGAGAATATAGTTCGAAACCACTAAACATAGCACTGTTAAACGTATTTTAGTATTTAAACGGTAGATTTAGGCATAACTTTATCCCCTTAAAATTTTTCATCTGTTCCAATTTCTTAGCTGAAAGTCTAGTGATCCGAAAATTATAGGGATCAAAACTTACCTTTTCGAAAATTTCAGCCAGAAAAAAGGCTCGCTAATATTCTAGGCGACCTTTTTAGGGTAAAAATCCGTTAAAAATGGGCAATTATACCATTTCTCAGATATTCGAAAATCGTAGGAGAGGCAGGCAAGCAAGAAATTTTACAAACAAATGTTCCGAAAATTCTAGATCTCAAATCGTCTTTCGAACAGATATTTTCCGAAAATTGACGTTGGGTGCCCCTACAAATTTTTGAACGGACAAAAGCTCGCACGCATCCGGCGCTTTTCGTTTTCACGGGACCCGGAGAACTGTGCAAGTTTTGGTATGGACTCTTGTAAACAGTACTGCAATCTCTAACAGAATTTGCACGGTTCCGTGTAAACGAGTTGCACAGGTAAAAAATTCGTCCGTTCAAAAATTTGTCCCGGACCCGTGTAAACGGTATGTGAGTTTCAGGTGCATTTTTAATAGAGTGTTTAACACACGACGGCGACGACAGCGCAAATGTCACTTAAAAAGTGAGTTCGCGTTATTTTAATCTTTATCGCGATTATTCCAACTCGCTGACGTTGTAAAATGCAGGCCAATTCTCCCTTGAGTTGATTTCTTAGGAATCACATCCGAGTCCAAAAAGACGGGAAGAAAATTTTGTCGTCGCTGGATAACTTCTTTCGTCAAACGTGAAATCAGGCATTTTCACGCCGTAGTCGTTCGGTAACAGCAAATGTTGAAGTTGTCGTTTTGCTTATTAGCCCTTTAAGTCCCAATAGTGACCAAGTTCAATTTTCTCCTAGCAATATCCATACACCGTCAAGAGATAAGTTATGAGAAGTAATAAAATGATCACCTGAGAGAAAATGCCCTGATCTATCATCAAATTCTCTCAACTAGTTCTTTAAGGAAATGTATGGAGATCAGTTTGGAGAATTTGTATGTGGATACTGAGGCTTAAAGGGTTAATCCTTTTGCTCTTTTGACGTCTTCGTTGCCGTCGCCAGGACCATTAAACATGCACTGAGCGTTCATTGAACGCTCTTCAGAAACCTATATTGTGGATCTATGCATTTTTCGTGTAATCATTGATGAACAGCTATTGCTTTTAGATAATTTTACACGCAACAACAATTATTTGCAGTCTGTTCCCTTAGAATTGTGTTTTTTTAAAGAATTTTCGCCAGAAAATTAGGGCTAAAAATTTAGCCGTGTTTGCTAAATTCTTTTGATTTTCGTCTTGAATTATCAAGTATGAGTTTTCAAAGTATGTTTTAAAAGCACTTTTCGGCATTAACCGTTTTCTTTTCCTTCTTTTTAGTGCAAATTTGTCAAAAGCAGCTTGGGGGACCCTAGAGAAAAACGGTCAGCAGCTTATGATCCGTTCGTATGAGATTGGAGTTCTCTTTCTTCCCAAAGATCAGGTATGGTGAAAATGGACGCAACAACTCAGCTGACAACTCCCACCAATACTGAGACTTGTTGGCCAACAATGTTGCGTCCGTTTGCCCGCGGCTAAAAGTTTCACCAGTTTCAAGCTTAACAAAACAACACGCAACAAAATGAAACAGGTTGTGCAAACGGACACAACATGTAATATCCAGCAATGTTGGAAAATGTGTCTGTTTGCACGAAGCTTAAGAACTGCACACGATCCAGTCTTTTGAAAACAGGCGGACACCTTCGTACACTCATAAACGTTTTTCAGTTGGTATCACTTAAAATCGATGTTTTCTTGCATGATCGAGACCAACTATCCCGCAGTTTTATTAAATAATAATTTTATCGACGGGATAGTGCACTTTGGTTCGTCGATTACAATCAACTCTCTCTAAGACGGACGCCTCTGGGATTGGCTTTACGTGTCCGTATTAGAGAGATATCCGTCTTATAAAGAGTCAATTAAAAGGTGTAAACAAAGGCAGGGACCAACTCTATACCGGGACGGGGGCGGGGGAGTACTCAACAAATGTTTATACAGGGATGCTCAGCCCCAAGGTCCAACCTCTTACCCTTTTATATAAACCATTTTTCACGGAAAAGGTACCCCTTTTGTATACCGTCTATTGACAAATGGTACCCATTTCACATACCTTGTTTGGAACTTTGCATCCCTGTTAACTGCTGTAAATGCAATGTCCTTTAAATTTGAATCACTCCCCTAAATAGAACGTTTTCTCGACTTTATAAAGTCATAAAATTTATCTCTTAGCCACTGTTAGCCCTTTTGGGCCCTTTGACAGACCGAAATGACAGATTTCCCTACTACTTCAACTAGTAAAATCTCTACCCTTTCATATACCTGAAGCCTGAAAAAGAAACCCCTTTCTGGTGAAGCCTCCCTGTATAGGCCATCATAGGGAGTCTCCCCTGGACTCTATTGGTGTCTGTTTTAGTGAGGTGTCCCTCTTGTAAAGGGGTCCAATAAAGGAGCGTTGACTATATGCACCAAAAAGATATGGCAATGGGCTTTTCCTTGTCTTGTGCCTCTTATCTCTGTTCGTACTTCCTGTTTCACAGGATCCCGAAAGCAAGTATTTCCTTGTAAAAGGAAACCACGGAAGTAAAACGAGCTCTGCCAGCTCCAGTCTACAGCTCCCTTTTGATGTTCCACTGTCTCCTTACACGAAAGATGGTACGTTAGTAAACTCAGTTAATGTTAATTTAATTTTAAACTGTATCAGGTGGTCACCAAGGCAAATGGCCAATTACATCGCGGGATTATGTCCGTTACATTTGCGATAACGGATACAAGAATAAACTTTGTTGGAACCCAGTTACTGTATTTTCCTTCCTCACATAATAGCCAGGGGCGACTACCTTTTTTTTTTGAAACCAAAAGGGGTCGATTTTCGGAGGGAGGCGTTTATTTCAAATATTGCTCATCGGAGGTCATGCCGTATATATTTTGTTTCATTATTCCATTAATCACATCAAAGAAACTGAATATGGGCTTTTAAGTATTCCAAATTTGGTTCCTTGACTAAGTTTAAATGTCAATAGCCTCGATGTCGGACCTTGAATCGTCACTGATCAGTTTTGCTGCATCGGATCCTTTTTCAGCTATGTTTGTTATCCAAAGTTGCCAATTTTGAACTTGACAGAGAGGGGATAAAAAAAGAGAAGATGGCGAGAGGGGTTAGGGCGATTATTCAAGCGAGACAATTATTTTAAATATTTCCGTCAAAGAGGGGCAATTATTCGAGTGGGGCTTATTAATTGAGGGACGGCTATTTTTCGGAGAAATAGGTTAAGTCTGCTTTACTCAATGCTGCGAACCAGTTAGGTCCCACAAAAAAGATGATGTCTTTTCGTAGTAGTAAGTTGTCATATTGAGTAAGAGCACCTCCTCCCAGTTAAGTGGTCGGAACTCATAGTTAAAGCTCCGAGCTCTCAAAATCGTTAAGTGGAATTACCTGGGGGACCAGCCTAATCGAAATGGGTATTTTGATTGTCAATAAAAAATGAGTATTAGGGAGCTTGTAGGACGGTTATGAGCGACACATGTCAACCAGAACTGAACTTTAATAAAGCCTTAAAACTACAAAAATTGCTCAAAACATTCCTATGTAGCCTGCGTGCAAGAACTCTGGGGCACTCTGGCGGTGGGGCGTTAGAAGGAAACAGAGCTTGATACATACCACATCAGACACCTCACATCAGACATACCTCATCAGACATCTGACATCAAACATCTGACATACCACTCAGACATCGGACATCAGACATCTGACATACCACTCAGACATCGGACATCAGACATCTGACATACATCTGACATACCACTCAGACATCGGACATCAGACATCTGACATACCACTCAGACATCGGACATCAGACATCTGACATACCACTCAGACATCGGACATCAGACATCGGACATCAGACGTCTCACATACCACATTAGACATTTGACATGAGATGTCTGATGATTTGACGGCAGACGTCTAATGTCATACTTCTCATGTCCAATGTCTGATGTGGTATGCGAGACGTCTGATGTCAGATGTCTGATGTCCGATGTCTTATGTCGAATGTCAGACATCTGATGTCAGATGTCTGATGTCTGATGTGGTATGTCAAATGTCTGACATACCAAATCAGACATCTGACATCGGACGTCTGACATACCACATCGGACATCCGACATCTAACATCAGACATCTGACATACCACATCAGATGTCTGACATGCCACATCAGACATCTGAGATCAGACTTCTGACATACCACATCAGACATCTGAAATCAGACGTCTGACATGCCACATCAGACATCCGCGATCAGACGTCTAACATACTACATCAGACATCAGACGTCTGACATACCACATCAGACATCAGACATATAACATCAGACGTCTGACATGCCACAGCAGACATCTGAGATCAGATGTCTGACATACCACATCAGAGATCTAATATGAGACCTCTGACATACCACATCAGACATTCAAAATCAGGCATACAACATCAGATGTCTGACATACCACATCAGACATCTGATATCAGACGTTTGACATTGCGCAATAGACATCGGAGATCAGACGTCTGACATGCCACATCAGACATCTGATATCAGACGATTGACATTTCACAGCAGATATCTCGGATCAGACGTCTAACATACTTCATCAGACATCGGACATCTGACATACCACATCAGATATCCGACATTAGACATCAGATGTTTGGTATGTCAGACACCTGATGTCGGATGTGTTATGTGGTATGTCAAAGAGCTAGTGTCAAAAGTTGGATGTCTGATTTCTGATGTCTGATGTGGTATGTCAGACGTCTGATGTCCGATGTCTAATGTGGAATGTCAGATGTCTGATGTCAGAGTTCTGAAGCCTGATTTTTAATGTCTGATGTAGTTTTTTAGACGTCTGATCTCAGATGTCTGATGTGGCATGTTAGACGGCTGATGTCAGATGTCTGATGTGGTATTTTAGAAATCTGATCTCAGATGTCTGATGTGAAATGTCAGATATTTGATTTCTGATGTCTGATGTAGTCTGTCAGACGTCTGATCTCAGCTGTCCGATTTGACATGTCAGACGTCTGAAGACGTTTTGTCTTTGTCGAGTGTTCCGTAGTAAAATTGCGGTCATGTGTTGCGTGACCTCTACGTTATTGGATTATTGAATGAATAATTAATTAGGGCATGTTTACATTTGAACATAAGTCAGCAGGTTACTGAAATCATAAAATATGTTGATAGGCTACTATTCGCCTGTTTAGTATTTTTTATAACCTTATGTGAAAGGTTATTCAAGTTCCAAGCGAGTTGTTTTGACGAACTGAGTTTTTTCCCCAAGAGCTTAAGTGATGTGTTTAGTCAAGTGTAAAGAAGGTCGATTTTCAAGTTCTGTGTTTACAAGTTGGCGGAGGCCGTAAGATTTCTGAAGTTCACGTGAGAGTTTGTTATAATTGACAGAGGCTGTTTAATTTTACTTAAGTTCAAGTCAAGTTTGTGTTGGCCGATGCTGTGTTTTAAAGCCCTGCAAAGACTATGTTCCTTTGGTATTAAACTTCCTTTTGTTAATCCAGTGAACAATTATCTTCAAAACATTCGATCTCGTAACATTGAGTTTTAGCCAATTCGATGCTCAACGTAATTGACTCCTTACCCATGCCTTACATATCTTTACAACAACAGCAACAACAAATTTTATTGAAAATTGGATAAATATAAAACTAATTACATTACTTTCTCAACTGCAAATAGCTTATGAACTAATCGAGGCGGGGGGAGCTGAAGACATATAATTTACAAGTACAAGGTTTATCTATAGATGGATTAAATAACAGTAAAGACACTACTACACAATAAATACAATAAACTAACATAAAACAAGGCAAGTACCCAACGATTACGAAGACAGGCTAACCTATGTAGGGAGCTTAAGCAAAGACGTTTTTGAGCGACGCACGTCAACCGGAAGTGAGGCCTTCTCACTATATATATGCCTTGACTCTAACAAATTTGTATTGCTCAGTTTCTTTTCTCTTTTAAAGACGATTTACCCGAGAGTTTGAACCAAAGCACTCCCCAATGATGCAAAAAGTTCATTACCTGTTGACGTCTTTCGCTCAAGAACGCTGCTGCTTAAGCTCTCTAATATTTTAATAAGACTGTAGGCTTCGACCCGAGGGGGGGTACCCTCCTATAAAAGGGACGGGGTGCTCGTCGGAAAATTTCCGCAGCATCATCATCATCATCATCATCATCATCATCAATCTTTATTTATACACGAAATCGTATCATTTTACATGGTCTTCCTAGGAATCGTGTTTAAAACTAGACTAAAATACTCTAAGGAACTATTGACTATAATGTTAAAAATACAAAAACTTACATTATGAATAATAAGAGTTACAATGGGTCATGGTGTATTAGAAAAATCTTTCCCATGAATTGAAGTTTTAAAAACATTTAAACTAGGCAGTTTTCTAATCTCTGAGGGAATCTTGTTCCACAGAACAGATCCTCTGTAGTGTAGGCTCCCTTTTGCAGACTCAGTTCTGGGTCTGGGGACATAATAATTTAACTCAGAATTTCTAAGATTGTGTGAATGTACATTTGAGGTGTTGGTAAAGATCCGCCTCAGATACGATGGGGAAAGATTATTATGGATTTTATGCGTTGTCACAGCCAACTGTTTAAGTCTTACATATTCTAGCCTTTCCCAGCCAAGCTCATCCAACAAAACACATGAGCGAACGTCATAGTTAGAAAAGGTGAGAATTCTAGCAGCCCTATTCTGCAGCTTTTGAAGTTTGTCTGCTAGTCCCTTATTGATATTACCCCATACGGCACCACAGTAATTAAAATATGGCATTACCAGTGCATTGTACATATTCACTCTGGTATCAAATGGTATCAAATGACTTACACGCCTTAAGATAGCAATACCAGCGGATATTTTCTTTGAAATGGTATGAATGTGTGGGCGCCAGTTCAAAGATTCATCAATTTGAACTCCAAGGGATTTATGTTTAATTACTCTTTCTAAGGGTGTATTATTGACTTTGACTGTGAAGTCACTATTTATTTGGGATAACTTAAATTGGCTCCCTATAAGCATGTATTTAGTCTTCTTAACATTTAAAGTTAATTTGTTTGCTGACAGCCATGACTGAATTAAATTCATATCATAATTCATTTTATGTTCAAGGACACATGGGTCTTCTGCAGATGTGGTAAGGGTAGTATCATCTGCATACATTCTGGGTTTTGAAAACAAATTACATGAAGGGAGATCATTAATATAAATAGTGAATAAGAGAGGAACTAACATAGACCCCTGTGGAATACCACATGTTATATTAGAGAAATCAGATTGAACTCCATCAATGAACGTTTGTTGCTTTCGGTCAGATAGATAGGACTGGAACCAGTTAAGAGATTGAGAACTGACCCCATAGAGTTTAAGCTTTCCCAGAAGGATAGCATGATCCATGGTATCAAAAGCTTTTTTCAAGTCCAGGAATATCACACCATTTAAGAGACTGTTGTCAATATTCCATAGCCATTCATTCGTAGCCTCAAGTAAAGCTGTTTCAGTGGAAAACATAGGTCTGAAGCCAGATTGTGATTCAGTTAACAAGTTATTATTATTTAAATATTCATATAATTGATTAAAAACAACTCTTTCAATTAGTTTACTTACTACAGGCAGAACTGAGATAGGTCTGTAGTTGTTGGGATCAGTCCTGAGGTCTTCTTTAAATATTGGCGAAACTCTAGCTCGTTTCCAAGCATTTGGAACTATTCCAGTGGTAATTGACTGATTTATTATAAAAGTTAGACTGCGAGTAACTATGGGAGACGCTTCTTTCAGGAGACGTGCTGAGATGTTATCAAGACCACTGGCTTTATTACTCGGTATTTTCTGAATTAAATTGAAGACCTCCTGGCATGATACTTTTGCCAAATTAAAAAGGCACCAGAATCTTGTTTTATGGGCGTGTCCCAAATTCATTTCCACCCCCAAGAGGTGCCACAACAATAAATTTTATAACTGGCTCTGCGAATTGTAATAGTAGAAAACATAACTTTCGAACACTTTCTTCCCAAGCACTTTTTGAAAGTATTGTCATAAATCTTACCGAGGCAACTCTGGCAGCAGTCATTTTCTGTTTTAGCACCCTAAGCGGTACAAATCCACAAATTTAAACCCCTAAAAGGTACGACGAGCACCCCCGTCACTTTTATAGGGGAGTACCCACCGGGACTTCGACGTAATCAGAGATGCCAACCTCTGGAGATCTAAAATCTGTAGACTCTCTTTTCTTCACTCCCCCCCGAAATTTTAACGCCTCCCCCCCCGACAAATTAACCCAGCCCCCAGTGGGAATGACTAAGGTCATTAAATGAATTCGCAATAATCTTTTTCATGCCAGAAATGATCTTTGTCACTGACTAAATACGTGCAAAAGTGCCCCAGAAACCGTATTGCAAATGAGAAAAATTCACGTTTTGAGCTAAAAATGAGCTAAATTTCGAACCTAGTCATAGAAAAGCTCAAAAGATGGTTTTATCCTGGAGATATGGTGACCCGTACGGGAGAGCGGTAGATCGGTGCAGTATCCGGGAGACTCACGGATAATTTTTGAAGCCTGATGTATAAAAAAAAAATCGTGACCTCCTTAGCAGGTGTTCACTTTTTGTTTCACAATGAGCCAACATTTTTGGGGTTTGGAAAATATCCCAGTAACGTCATATTTGACTTGAATCGTCCCACCATGTCTTGAATATCTCAGGGAGACCCAATTAAATCCGCATACCAACTTTGGCAAGCTAGGCTCTTAGATATTGTCGCGTTTTCAGAATATGAAGACAAATGGCGATTATTTCACAAATTGACACCGCCCCATATATCTTCGGATTCTTAGTTATTGACGGCCAACAATGAACAATTAATTCCACAACCACGATAATAAAGTGTATATTATTATTAGCGTCTTATTATTATTATTATTATGGAAAAACAACATGAATTTCTATCGTTTCCTACAATTACTTATGGGTTAACTATAAACAAACTCTGTTCAAACCAGGCCATCCTTTTTTCTCAATTTTGGTGTTAACTACAGTTGTTCATTTCGCCCTTTACATTTTGTACATTCCCTTTTAACTGCAATATGTTCTACAAATCTAAAGCAGTAGCCACATGCAGTCACAGACTGCCTTTTATTCTTTCTCTTTTTAAGCCTGGATACAGTCCTTAAGAATAAGCTCCAAGAAAAATCGCCCACATTTGACAATATAGCGTGTCAGCTAAATACAGTCGACTCCCGGTAACTCGAACCCTCTATAACTCGAACATCCCGCTAACTCGAACCAATTTTCATTTCCCTTCAGATCGTTTTCTATATAATTTTACCCTCGATAACTCGAACTCCCGATAACTCGAACTGTTTTCTATTTCCCTTGAAGGTTCGAGTTATCGGGATTCGACTGTAAACACCATTCAGTTTGAAAGAGTTTTTAGCAACGTTTTTACTGCCGTCTTCGTCGTCGTTGCACGTACGCTCCCTATCTGCGTCCTAATTTTGGCTTTGGTGAAAGACTATTTTGGCCTGACTGTAGGTTCTTTAGGATGAGGTTATGTTGGTAGGTGTCACTTTGAGGCTGAGGGTTTGGGTTATGAAGCAGTTTGGACTGGTTAACCCGATGCGATGTCAGAGTTTTTAATTGGGATAAGAAGTGTGAATAAATGAGTCGATAAAGGCAAAATAATAAACTTAGGCATTAGTGTAGAGTGGGACGGGAATCGCGGCGTTAAGTTACAGCTGAACCTGGTCTGGTACTCGGTAAGGAATTTAGACTCTTAGCGGTGAACAGTGGAAACTACCCCCCTCCTTACCCCACCCGTCCCTCCCTGGGGAATTGTAAATGGGAGGTAACTTGGAGGAGTCAACTTCCGTTTCTGCGTACACCCTTCGAGCCTACGAGTTAGAGAAACCGTAATAGGTGGGTCTTTCATAGAAAACATGGATTTGCATTACAGAGAACAAATGTTTGTTTTTAAAAATACTTCATTTGATGTTGAACAAAAGAATCGTAGATCCAACGAAAACGACATTTGTGATGGTGAAAAGGGAGGTTTTATTTTAAATTTTGTCTCAATGTTTAAACGTGCCGCTCGGTGTGCGTATAGAGCGAAATTTAGAGCAATAAAATTGCGAAGATGGCAAAGAGTCTGTAAGTCTGTAATGACGAAAGTGGAAGCGAAAGTCTGTGGTAAAGGGAATTTATCCCAGTCAAACCTCGGTTATTTTTGCCAGGAATTAAGCTGTTGTCAGTATTTCTGGATGGCCGTAATAGCGAGGTGTCCGCGCAAGGTAAGAGCTGACTGCATATTTGTTATTCTTTATAGAACGCCCATGGATGTGGGACGTCAAGTACAACATCCCGGACTGTCACGGAAGAATATGGTCACCGTCTTGAAGGACCTTTAAACACAACTTTCAAGTACTATTTAATAGGCCCGGCATTTATTTGCTCGCTTGGCGTCAAGATATCTCTTGTCAGTTTGGAAAATATGCTTCCACTCCAATTGAAAACACTAAGCATGTGATTGCGTGGCTTAAAACTTTTCTTCACATGCTGCGAGTCCAACTCCAAACAACATTTGATCGCTTGGCCCTATATTCTCTCGGCTCACGTTATATCTGGAGAGAATAATAAATGTCAATTTATCTTGGTATACTGTTCGGTTTTCTTTGGGTAGTTATTTAGCCTTGTTTCCAGTCCCTGCTTATGCCTGGGGAAAAGCGACGAGGCTTACGGGAAATGCTGGGATTTTGGGAGGCCTTCGATGCAACACGCTCTCGTATAATCCGCCCAAGGAGCGTCTGTTAATTTTTTTTCTGACTTAAGCTGTTCAGTTAGCACCACAGTGCTCGAGTCACTAATGCTACAAATGCACTAGATCAATGTCCTTTACTGCTGATATTGTTTGTTTTTATATCTATATTGCCAATAACAGTCGAGTTCAATACCTTTTCTTATGGCCAAAATAATGCAAAATCATAGTAATAATTGCCAATCTGCAATAGACGCTCCGCCGTTTGATGCACTTCGGGGTTTGTACTTTTAACTTAACGAACTTTTGTATTTGGTTATTCAACATTACAACAGTAATACAAACACTTTCTTTCATACACGTGCAAGCAACAACAATAATATCATTAACAACCATGCAAGTAACAAATGACTCTTTAACTTATATTTACAGCTATTTTTGTAACGATGTATATTTGATATCTTTAAATAGAGGGCTATTTTGGAATACTAGTGATACACTAAATGTGGTAACTAAAAAGATATGGAAATAATTGACAAACATATAATATTCGCTTTAAAGAAATAAGTGATGTCTGCGATCAATTCATCTTTAGGATAAAAACGCAGATCCAATACAATATTTTCATTTAAATGCTAAGGTAATTGCTTAAAGCTGAAACTTCCAAGAACACGCTGTTCAAAAGGAAACCTTGTTTACAAAGTCTAGCTCATTAGTATTGTGCTTATCATTTTCTAAAAATAATAAAGCTAGTAATATCGTACTCAGAAAAACATTGAAAAAGAAGTGTAAACAATTGATTAAATAGAACTTGTTACCGGATTTGACCCAGGAGGATGGCGGCTGAATACCTAGCAATGCTGTGAATTGTCATGGCTGATATTTCCTTAAATATTTCATATAAAAAAGGTGAAAAGTTTCTAGATTACCTAATCGGACAATTGTAGTTTTGAGGCTAAATTGTGTTTACGGTGTGGTGCTTTTTTTTCTGTACATGTAAGTCATATGCAGATAAGACAAAATGTAAACAATTATGAAGTTGCACCAAAATGTCGTGATTTGGAACATTCGCCTGCTCTTAAATCTTCTAATCCATGTTTCCCCCTAATTCCTTTCGGGCAATGCACCGTGCAGGCCAGGCAACTTCATTAAGGGCCGCATAATTAACACGATGATTTTTTGCAATTGGTTACTGCCACTCTCTGTTATGAGATTTTTTTTAACTTTGTCGGGCAAAGGAATGAGAAGAGCTCAGTAATAAGATCTACTAATTCTAACTCATTTATTAGTGGCAAAAGCGTCATGATGAGCTACATAAAATGTGACGTTTTTCAGGCAGCATTCATTACAGGAGACAGAAATCAGTACAGAAATAACTAAATATAGTGCAGCCCTCCCTGTCAATATTCGAAGTAAACATTTTTACGGCAGAGAGCAAATAGAGGTCTGTAAGTAAAAGACAACCATCAGGAGAGAAAAAGTCGTGTAATTTCGTGTCATAAGCTCATGGCTAATCTTAGTCGTCTGTACTTTGATTCGGAAATAGCAAAAAGTCGTCAACTGGTGTTTTTGAACATTTAATTGACTTTCCTTATTGATTTGAGATTTCGTCGTCAAAATTAGATGCTCAAGTGATTCGTGCGCGCCCATACTATTGCAAAGTACTATTTAAGTAAATAAGTTTGAAACTAGGAGACTTACAGTTAATAGGGACCTTAAGATACTCTGGACGCGGCCGAGGAAACGTCGTCGGAACTGGTGAACTAATTAGCATAATGCCACAGCGTTTTGAAAACATGGCCGCCTCGTAAAGCTTGACTTGTTTTTGCCTTATTGATTTGAGATTTTTTTCGTTTTCGTCAAAATTAGATGCTATCAAGCCTTTTGGGATTGTTTTCTGAGAATGAAAGAGCTGAGTCTTTCGACACAAATGTAACACTATAACTTTTTAAGGGACAACGCTCTCGCTTTGGGATAGTATTTAAAAGACAAAATAAGAATAAAAATTGTTGATAAACAAAAAAACTTGGATAAACTTGAACATGTCGGAGAAAATTGAGATCTTGAACAAGACGCCATGGTTCATTTATTAACTTTTATAATTTTACGTTCAGCGATGGAGCGGTATCATATCGTTTTAAAGCAAGATCTAGAACAACGGAAACGAAAAATATGGCAACAAATACTGAAATATTACCCTCAAGTTTCCCTCGAAGGGTGGAATTTTTCTTCCAATAAAAATCGTTATATAAATCAAAAAGACTTATGGCATTACTTTATATCCTCTCTCGTCAGGCGAGCACTCAACCCAACCTGCTCAATCTTAATTTGTTTTTCCCGCGAAGGTGGCGGAATATCTCTAATATCGGACATCCAAATATTAGATGTCGGTGGAATAATAACTATATAAAAAGATGCATAGGGAATATCTCCATCCTGAAAGTTCAGGTGTTCACAAACTCAAAACAGTTTAAGACACTTGCTTCCACAGGTGAGTAAGGTTTTAAAAGTTTTTTCTTGACAAATTCTCGGTGATTTTCTTGGAGCTGAATTAGCTGGGGAGGGGGGAGGAGGGGGCTGAAACTTGTCAGTCGTTGTATCAAAGACAGTCGAAATGCCATTTAATCACCGTATTTCCCATTATTGTAATCACTTCTCTTTCTTAAGATTGATCTGTTACAGTTAGTCGGGTTATTAACTCCAAGACAAAAAAAGTTTTTTTGTCTTTCATGAAAACTGAGGGTGCATTGTAAGCAGAGTTTTGGAAAGCAGTAGATAAATTTTTTGAAAAAATGAATTGGCAAAATCTGCGCGTGTGTGAGTTGTTCCGGCAAAGTCGCGAAAAACGAGCGCCGTCTCCTCCCGATTCTCCACACAGCATATATAACTCCTCTGCCAAAACTTGGCTTGCGCTAAAGACCCCGCCGACTGCAAAGGCGAACATGTAGGGGAAACTTTTATTTTGAATTGCAAACATCTGAACCAGGGCGATTTGTAGTACATAGTCCAACATGGTGTCTTAAAGGAGCGATTACCAAAAGTCAGACTGAACTAGCCTGCTGGAAATGATTCAGGCTTATAGGTGTCGCTTGGCTGTACGTGAAGAAATAAATTAAAATAAATATATAAATAACGAAGCTTCACCACTGCTGATGGAAATCAAAAAAAGAAAAAGGAAGGGAAAAAAAAGACCGTTCCGGCTGGACAGCCATGACTAAAAGTGAAATTCTCTCTACGATGGAACTCTGATATCCCGCCGGCCACTTCTGACAAATGGAAAGTGCCTCCAGATATAATTGTTTGTTATTTGGGATTTTTTTTTCTGCAGTTTAATAAATTATTACATCAATTAATAATATAATCGTATCTGTAGTGTGATGGACAGGCAACGTAATCCATCTGTCTAGTTAACAAAGAATAAAACGAGCTCGAGATTTTTGTCGGCTAATCTTGTGAGCAGTGGTGAAGCTCCGTTTTGGATTTATTTATTTTAATTTATATCTTCAGTTACAGCCAAGCGATACCTGTATGGGTTGAAATATTCTTGGTGTTTCGTCCAGAACAACCTAAGCGATACCTAAATTTGCAATTTACAAACCAAAACTAAGAAAGGACAATTTCACAAGGGAGTTCTTCTTGGCATTTCTCTAGATTTTTATTTAGTATTTGGTATATTACTACAATTGGCTTTTCTCCACTCGCTCTCTTTGAGCTGATTAGATATATAGCTTGTAGCTAAGCCAATCAAAACGCGGGATTTTCAAGAGAAGACTCGTAGAATGCCTGTATAGTTTTACCATTTAAGATGAGTTTACCTTTTATTTTTAAACTCTTTCCCTCTTTAATCCATTTGTTGACATTGCCTCGATAGGTCATCTTCTGCTGAGCTTCTTACAGAGGGTTAAGATCGTACGGTTGTGAATTGGTTGCAGCCGGACTATAAAGCAGCATGGATTCTAGTGTCTATATTGTTATATTTATAGTTCTCAGCTTTGAATTAGCCATTGGAGGTTGGTCATATATCTTTTTTTTGTTGTTAAAACTTGTTTTTAGTAGAAGTAAAACATGACACGTTTTTTGCATCAAATGGAAACTCGGAAAAATCCGAGCCCCAGATGGGATTCGAACCCGCGACCCCACGTGATCTAGTCGGATGCTCTAACCACTGAGCTGCTGTAGACTCTATGGCGAGCAAGGGTCACATAGTCAAACCGGGACAAGCACGTATGACTCATAGCTGCGTCACCCAGTCACATTAGGGACTTTAAGATCCAACGACGCGACGGCGACGAGAACGTCGCTTAAAAAGTGAATTTGCGTTCTTCCAGTCTTTATAGGGTCTTACTTTGTCAATTTGAACCCTAGAACTGAATTTCAAGGGACCATAGCCCAGAAATAAAATTTCGTCGTTGCTTGTTTACGTCCTCCATAAAAACCAGGACAATGCACGTGCGAAATTGTGGTTTCGCTAATTAGACCTATTGTTTTTTGGACGTTCTCGTTGTCGTCCGCGTCGTTGGATCTTAAAGTCCCTATTAGGCATATCATAGATCTAGTCAAAGACTCACATTTCACCCTTGCTCGCCATAGAGTCTCCATTAGCTCAGTATTTAGAGCATCCTACTAGATCACGGAGGATCCTGGGTTCGAATCCCATCTGTGGCTCGGATTTTTTCCGAGTTTCTATTTGATACAAAAACGTATCATGATGTTCTACTTCTACTAAAACGTGTTTATTTATAGTCACTTTAAAGTGTTGTACTTCTAAATGATACAATATCAATATTGGTGAGATTAACAGGTTAAAGCCTCCGATAAAACCGGAAAGTGAACAACAAAAACAATTCCAAAAACCAATTGAAAGTATAAAAACAGACAATTAACAATGCTATTTTTAATTTAATTAACGAAAAAAATATAAAGAGCTGATTGCAGAACGTGGTAATTAAGGACTCATAAAATAACAGGTTTGAACTAGTATGAATCACTGATAATTCACGAAAGAAACGAATCATAGAAACTAATTTAATATTTATTTCTTGTTTTCAGCAGGTAAAAATTGGGGATATGAGAAGACAGGTATTACGTACTTACATACTTAGCGATTTTTCGAAATATTTTAATGGGAGGCCCTTTTCATTATCTAAATGGCAAATTTATCCACTTTTCACATTAGGGGTGGCGTTGCGAAATGTTGGCTGTTTTTTCAGTATATTGGTCGTGTTTCAAAACAAGCAAACTTCGGTTAACTGACAGGATTAAAGTTCACCATCTTTCAAGAAACTCACTCCTGCAGGGTATTAGGTAGCATATGGAAGTACCGGATGCAGGGGTTTAGCTGGTGGACCTGCACAGTTTGTGACACTGGCGCGTACCTTAAGTACCAGGGGATGAACTTCTTAGAGTGGTCCGGGGCTCCCCGCCACCCCCCCCAAAAAGTGGACTCTATAAAATGCAATTTCCAGTGTTTCCTTATGCGCTACATAACTACGAAGTGAGTAAACTAAGGGTCAATCTATTTTGATTAGTAAATGAAAATGAAGACGATTTTCACACTAAAAAAATGTTTTCTTCGTGAGTGAACCACAGGTCAAACAACCGAACTTTGCGTCCGGCGTCCAGCCTGAAACGAAACCCCTAGCCGCCTGTCGTGAAACTTAAAATGCCAGCGGTACCAATACAAAGTTCTTGTCATTATTTTTCATTTTATTTTATCTTTTACGAGTTTTTTTTTTTTCGCGTATCACCTTTTCAGATTATGGTCCAGGGGACTGGGGGAAAATGGCACCACTCTGCTCTAGGCAGCACCAGTCCCCCATCGACATAAACATAAGCGCGGCCAAGACAGAGAAATCCTATCGCGGCCTGGTTCTAAACGTTGAGCAGAACGTTGGTGGTGCAGTTACTGGTTCCTTCATCAACAATGGTCACGTACCGACTTTTCATGTTAATAATAAGAAGGGTGCAGTTACCCTTAACGGGGGTCCTCTGGGGAAAATCCTGCACATACTGCATCAGTTTCACTTTCACTTCGGCTGCAACAGCAGTGTTGGGTCTGAACACAGAGTGGATGGAAAACATTTTGCAGCAGAGGTAAATGATTGATAACATATGTGATTAAAATCAGCTTGCTTTGGAACTAATACCAGTAATTAGGATTTATTTTTTATTCACGTCCTTGGCGCAGCCACGATGTTTCGTTTTCGACATCTGCTTCATGATACGAAAGGCAGGTCTGAATCAGCTCTACCAAAAATCTGCCCGCAAATTATGGCCAAACAGAGAATATCCTCTGCAGATCGCTTGTGCTTCTTTTTCAGTTATTGTGCAAGAGTGCACTTTTTAGGGAGCTTAATTAAGCAAAGCGCGGATTTTTGAGTCAACCGGAAGTGATCCTTTTTAATATGCCTTGATGCTACCAAATTTGTCTTGCTAAGTGTCTTAACCCTTATAGAGACGCTACCCGAACATTTGATCAAACGCATTGTCCAATAATGCCAGGCGTCCACTTCCGGTTGACCCGCGTCGCTAAAAAACGTCCGTTAATTGTTTATTTTTCTTCCTTCATGAAGTGTGCATTGTAAACTGACCGACACTTAGCTGCATATAAATCCTAAAAACGTAAATAATACCCTACCTAACTAACTCGCTGAAATAACGGTTGCGTTATGTTATCCTAATCTGATTTCTTTACCACTAGATGCATCTTGTATTTTACAACTCTCTCTATGAAAGTTTCCAAAAAGCAGTCTCCAAGCATGACGGCTTGGCTGTCGTTGGAGTCTTTTTACAGGTAACTCAACTGAAACTGTTTATTACGTACCTCATAAGTTTTCAAACAAAGGATTAGTCTAAGATGCATGCCATCTCAAACGTCGAGTGGAAAGCTATTTGCTTTTCACCCTGTGGTGTGATTCTGGTTTCTGTGGGCGCAAGCGATTTTGTAAAGTAAAAAGTAGCTATCTGGTATCCGAGGACAAATTCATCAAGGGCGTAGAGTGAGGTTTTGAAGATGTAGGCAAGGAAAGAAAGGTGGGAGCTCTGAGTGTACTGCATACTAGGTCTGGAGGCATACTCCCCAAGAACAATTTTTAGACTACGAGTAGTCCCCCATTTTTCCTCAAGGGATAGTAGAGCGAGCGAAACGCGAGCGCGCGTGAAAATCACCCCACGCGAGAAAAGGCTCGCGAGGGGTGATTTTCACGCGCGCTCGCGTTTCGCTCGCTCTACTATCCCTGAGGAAAAATGGGGGGACTACTCGTAGTGTAACATTTTTAGAATTTAGGGGCTCAGAAATGCCATTTCCTTCGTTTTCCGCAGGACATTTTCAGTAAGTTAAAACGAAGGAAAATGCAATAGTTAGTTGTTTAATTTACATCCCTATTGTTATCGATAAGGTACAGTGTTCACCAAAAAAGGGTAAAATAGTGACGCCGTCAAGAAGGTTACAAGCAAAGGACGAGACGTCTACCCCTCAGACGGGCCAATAAACCAACATATTAAATGCGAAAGATTTATCAACCAACCCGATTTAATGATAAAATGCTTTCCGGAAATTTTTTTTTTCAGATTTCAGCCGTATGCACGGGCGTACATGTGTATATTGACGGTACGCTCCTGTTCATTAATAATTCGCGAGGGGAATCTAGGAAGATAGTTCGGATCTTCTGGGAAACTGCCCACCTACCCCTTCCCTAACCCAACATTTTGCCCCAAGTGAGTCGCAAATGTTAACGTTGAATTAGGGGAGGGGTAGGTGGGCAGTTTCCAAGAAACCTGAATTGATCCTATAGTTCTACTGTGATTACGCTTGGGCGTTTCTTAGTCACTTTCTTAAGGTAAGCCTTGATGGTGGTGATTGCCATTGCCAGTGTGTTGAAGCCGGCACACCTTATCTAAGGATTCTTATGGGCTGTACTGAAGTGTTTCCTCTATCCCACTAATATCACCAGTTTTGTCGTATTGAGTGGGACCTCTCTCGCACTAGTGCTAGTTTGAATATTTGCCTTTCTTAATTACAATAAAATAAGAAATTTGTTAATTGGCGTTAAATTTCCTTGAGAATTGCAACGAGTTGCCTCATTTTTATTAACCGGCCCCACTTCTCATTCGGTGTCTAAATGATGAAACAGTACCCGCTTAAAATATCAACTAAAAAGAGTAGGAGTATGTTCTTAACCACTTCTGCCAATTGTCTCAATTTAGGTTGACGGAACATTCAGTGAGTGGATGGAAAAGATCGCCGTGTCGCTGAAAAACATAAAGCGTCCTAACGGTAAAAGAAATGTAGCATTAAAAACTGTAAATCTTAAATCTTTCCTAGACTGACTTATGGTGATTTGATGTATTTTTCACTTTTGCAAATGAATCCTCTTCGGCAGAACTTTTTCAAAGTACTACTTATATCTTGAGATTGTACACAAAGAATTTTTTTTTCTTCTGAAATTCTTATCTTGGTCACGATTAGGCCTAAGTGTGAAAGGGTAATATCAATTTTTTTTTGGCCTTATTTAACTTCTGTAAACGTGTAGAAGGCTGTTATGGCCAGCCGACATATTGAAATGAGAAAGCAATACACGTTGTTATGATCAGCTTTCAGTAGTCTTTAGACTTCTCGTTTTTTGGTTTTTATTTACTGGTCATTTTGAGGTTTGGCTGTAAATTATTTATTTAATCGCTTCCACCATGGTTACAATACAGGAAGGAGTTGCGATGGTGCGGAACACAAAACAGAGCGATGCTCTATTTTAAGCGTGCCCGAATAGAAATTGTTTTTGAAACACCGTGAACTTTACAAAGAAAGTATGAGCTCATTAACGTTTTAAGTCACCCATCTATTTTGCAGTTTATGATTGCCCATACGTCCTCTGTTATTGATTACACGGAGCTCAAACTTGCACTAGAAGTTCAAATTATCCAACTCTTTCAACTTTGAACCTAATTTGCTTATACGGAGAGAGATATCTTTATGAGTTAACTGTTTGCTAATGAGCAAAAATGTAAACAATGGCGTCAGCAAGAATTCACCTTATAGAGGGGGGTGACCTATTTTCTCTTTCTTCCTGGTACAATAATGCGAACCAGTTTTCTTCTCTACCAAGGGATCCAGTATCATCTGGGAGACAGCATACCGCTGGCCAGCCTTATTCCAGACTTGGCTTCTGTTAACGCACCTTACTTTACCTACAAAGGCTCCCTTACCACCCCACCTTGCTACGAATCTGTCCAGTGGATTGTACTGGAAAACCCCATATCCGTCACTGAGTCTCAGGTGAGCTTTCATTAAAAATTCATATTTTTCTTAAAGCTCAAAATAGAACTCGATAAAGCTAATACTAAAAGCAAGTATTGACCGGCAAGTATTGATCAATGACATACTCTTCGAGGAGTTCAAACTGGAATGTGGTGTGCCTCAGGGTTTCAGTCTAAGTGCTATACTGTATAGGCTCTATACGAGTAAGCTCTTTGAGATTGTCAAGACTCATCCGCCTGAAGTTCATTGTTACAAAGGTCTACATTAATTTTAGTCCTAATCTTAAGTCAGACCCGTTTGTGGATGTTGAATGACAATCCTAAATTGAATGACGACAAAACTGAATTTTTCATTTTTGGCACACCGCAACAGCTGGAAAAGGTCGACATCACGAGTATCCGCACGCGTGGTTAACCCTGACATTCATCCCGTTCCCACTTCTAGGAATTTCGGTTCATGGTTTGACTCTAGGCTGTCCATGTCGAAGCATATTACAAAGATCTGCGGTTCTTAATTTTTTTATTTGTACAACATACGACGCACCAGGAATTATCTATCACAAATGTCAACCGAAGCACTCATTCATGCAGTCGTCTTGACTACTGTAACCGCTTATTGTATGGCCTTTCTGATTCCTCATTAAATAAGCTACAACGTGCGCACTACAGAAAGTTTGTGCTAGGCTGATTTTTTTTTAATGAACAAAAGTTTTGTCACGTAACCCCCCATACTATGCAGTTACTCTGGTTACTAGTTAGATTTAGAATTGAGTTTAAATTTTTTTTCAAGATTCTTTATGGTTTAGCTCCGTCCTATTTATCATATCTTATTTCTCGTTGGCGTCCATCGAGATATAATCTTAGGAATTCAAAGGATAATCTTTTACTTAGTTATCCCAGGTTCATATCCAAACTAACACTTGGCGATAGGTCCTTCACTTGTGCTCTCCAAGGCTCTGGAATGGTTTGTCATTCGATGTCAGATGCGCCAAGCTAGTCTGTTGATGTTTTCACGGTCCCTTTGGCGACACCGCGCGTATTACCCTGGCAACCAACTATACTTTGCGCAAATTATTTCGGATGTCTGCACGAAAGCAAAAGGGTCTTAATATAGAAAGGTTTACTAGCAAATCCTCTAAAAAGAAACAAACAAAGGAAAAATGAAATGCGGTGATGGGGGCGACAACGACAGCGGCAACCCACTTAACCCTAACAACAATTAATCATATTTTGCCCAAATTGTCCTCTCTGCACGAAAGCAAATATCGCCCTGTTACAGAAAGATTTACTTGCAAATCGTTTAAAAAGAAACAAAAACAGTTGATATGAGGTGAGGTGGCGACTACTACCCACTCTACCTTTTTGTTAACAATACGTCGTTAATGTAATCAGCTCCAAAAAGAGTCATTCTAATACTAACATCAAGACTTGTCACATTCTCTCTCAGTTGGAGATCATGCGGACCTTGACATCAACCGATGGTAACCATTTGTGCAACAACTTTAGACCTGTAAAGCCACTGAATGGACGGAAACTCTTTAAAGGACCTGGCGAAAAAACGTATCCTGGGGAATTTAGTCGTCGCTTGTTTCTTCGAACAATTAAACAGCATTAAGACACAGCTAGATGCCGATATCCAAGAAATCGTGTATTGTGTTTGAGTTTTATTATCAAGGAATATGACCCTTTTTAATTAAGATTAAGACTCGACTTGCTTCTTCATTCACTTCAATTCAGAAAAATAGCTCAATGCGGAATAAAGCTAACCTCAGACTTTCTGTTCTGCACGTTAACGCAGGGAATTCTTAAGACGAAATGTTAACCGAGATAATTGTCAATATAAAGGGTATTTCCTTTTTTTCTAATTTTGAATTGGTACTTAAAATACTTTTGTGGTACAGCTGCATTTACACCTTGCGGGATCACTGTCCGCATTCCATGTATTGGTATAAAATATTGCGCACTGTCACCAATCCCCACGGCCGTGTGTCATTTATAGGCTGCGGCAGCATGAATAATATTTTCAAAACGTAACTGTGTAACTTTTTAGTTTTAAAGCCAAAATTTCACCCTGCACCTAGTCAAACTTAACGGCCTGGGAAAACCTAGTATTTTCCATCCTTCATAGTCGTCCCTCCTCCAGTACCAGACTAATTCAGAAAATCAGACGTACACCGATCTGAAGAACGGGCCCCCATTACCTCTAAAAGTTGATGTAGTTCTGTTTGTTTTTCAAACTTACTATCAGCCTTTTTTAATGAATTTCCCTTTTTCTTGTGAAATTATGTCATCCCTTTTTACCTAGAATGACCCGGTAATCATCTCAGCACTCCGGGCTGGTTCCAGTGGAGAACCTGCACACCACGGTCCTCACGGTGAAATCCAACGGCTTGCCCGGAATTATTGTTCTCTTTTAAAGGAGCTTTGTCACGAAATTCAGCCAAATTAGGAAATTACAAAATGCCCGTTAAATTAAGAGAAACGTAAAAATAACCGCTTAAAACTTTAAAGGAAGGTTAAAATAACACAACAGAAACAACAGATGCCACGGATGGGCAAAACTGAAGAAGATTTAAACGGATTGAAATTAGGGTTTTTGAAAACTGTACAGCCTAACAGTTTTTTCAAAGTTGATCCCTGCTGCTTTCAACTTCAAAAATAATGCTCAGGAGACATATTTTGTTTGTCTCGGATCTCTGATTTTGTCATTTACATGTAATTTCTTTACTTACTTTAAGTTCCATAGCGATTGAGGGCGAGTAATTGGCAAAATTAAACAAAATGAACTGGACTGCGGTGACACAGCCCCTTTAATAATCTGTTCTTTACTTCAACACATATAGCAATATGATAATATTCTAGCCACAGACACTCTGAATTTTGAAACGCAATTATCTATTACTGATCAACTTTTGGAAACCCATTTCACCCAAAGGTGCTACTTGGCACATTTTTCTCAGTGATGTTTCTTAAACCATAATTTTCTCCTTATTTGGGCAGTAACCTCTTCTACGAACTTCAGAGACCTTCTTTCTTAAGTTCACATGCGGTTTTTTATTATGCAAGCGGAACATTTATTAAGTACGGTTATTATTACTTTAGAACAGAAATTCTTTTCCGTGTTTACAAATGACTAATAGAATGATTTTGAAACTCCTAGAATTGTGACGGAAAAACTCACTGCACTTTTTCTCCTACATAATAAAAAAAATTGTGTATTCAAGCCGAGCCACTAGAAGAGCTGTTTCCGGCAGTGTAGATAAAAAAAATCGATTTTAATAATACTCTTTTAATGTGCTACGCTAAGAGATGCATTGCTTCACGCCCCTTTTCCATAGGTGCTAAACGCCACACACAAAACATGAGAATTTGCCCGCTGTAGTCAACCTACAATAAGTTTGAAACTACATTAAACGATGCAAAAAAGGATAAATGCAGTGCCTCATTTTGTCCCAAAGTTGGCACGTTTTTTGTCGAACAAAAGGTCAATATTTTGTTGAACTAACTTTGTCTTTGGACAATCACCACTTTTTGGGTATTGAAGTTTAAGAACTCTTTTATTTTAAAGTATAATTAAGACGACAAAATACCTGAGGACAAAGCCGTTTCGCTTTGGCACGTTTTTCCTTGAACTGATGATTACGTGTCTATGGACACTGACCTCTTTAACTATTTCTTTGTTTTAAAATAATTTTAAAAGTGCTTAAGTTTGACCCGGATCTAAGCCGTTGAAAAATTTATTCCGGATTTGATTTATTCACGGTTGAGTGTAGCTATTGACAAACTATCTGTTTATTGAACATATTTTAATGAATTTTATGACTTTTGTGAAAAAAACGTTTCTTCAGAGATATTAACATTTTCACCAATTTAAATTTCGAAGTAAAATAAAGTCTGATTGATGCAGGTTGTAGAAATTCAAGAAATCTCTGTGTCCCTTAAACTTTTAACCAAAACACAAGGGTACCGCGCCACCTTCATGCAGCCTATCAAGTGCCTGACAATTTGCAACATTGACCGCGGAACTTATTTCACAAGTCAATGACTTAGAAGTCTTATCTTTGTTCATAAAAAAGCAAGAGGTTTAGTGTCTTTTATATCTTTGGAACCGTAATCGTACACAGCGTTTACGTAAAGATGGAAAAGTACATAAACGGTTTTAATGATGCAAAAATTACGTTGAGTTCCTTTTGTGGTGGCACCGATGGTATAAAAACGCTATTTCCTTCGATGTTTAGGGCAAACATTTTTGTCTGCATAAGGAATTACCTACAAGCGGGTGAAATTCTGAGCAAAACACAGGTTAAGGTAAGCCTATTTACTACTAAATGCGATAGGATTCTCCGTCAGTTAAACTCGAGTTCGCACCGATTGTGTTTCCCCTACCTAAAACAATTTCTCTCGTTTTTAATATGCATTAACGCAGGTTGCATTTACATTTTAAGTTGAATTTTGTCTGAACGTTACTTGGGACTACAATCGTTTTGTTATACTTACTTTTCGTTTCACCTGGATCTTGTTTCGCTGGCTATTTAATTATTGAGGAAATATATTTAATTCCTTAGTGCCGAATAATTCTCCCTTTTCCCACCAGTTTTGTGTTATTATGAATTGGAGAATTTAATCAATGATGAATTTAAATCAATGACTAAGAGAGATATTTTGAGATTCACTTAACACAAAAGGGTTGCATGTTTGACACTCTATCCAACTGATATAGTCCAATATAAAACCGAAAGTGAGAAAAAAAGTGTTTGTACAAATTTTTATTTTTGATATATATTAAATCCTTTGAAGCTCGTTAAGCCGTAAGAATTGTTGACTTGATAACAGGGAATTTTTTCGGAGTTCTCCGCATTCAAATTATTTCATAATCTAAGGTTTTCCATGCTTAATAATAACTATAATATCTGTTTGTTTGTTTATAGCAGTAAGAAAATGCATTTGTTCAAGTTTCTTCTTTTGGTTTTCGGATTCTGTTTGGTTTTTGCCAAAGCTGAAAGCGAGATGAAAGATGAGGAAGCGTTCGTGCTGGACGAACTTGACAGCACTGCATCAGAAGATTGGTCCCCTAATCTAAATGAAGACCCAAAAGAAGACACAGAAAACCCCAAGATGATGCCAGAAGAAGACTCCGATGAAGACAGCCAGAAAAGGCTTCATACTTCGTACCCAATATATTTCACCATGAGATTGCCTACAAATCACAACTTCAGGTTCTTTCACGCTTCCTACTGTTTCAGACGTCGATGTTATGGTACGAAATATACCTTATTGACTAAGTGTGAAGTCAAGTTGACTGGATATTAGTTACGAACAGACCAATATTCAAACATGTTGACTCAACATGTTTGCTTCTCACAAACTGGTCGTAAAGAGTAGGGGACGGTAGTTCCCTGCATGGTAGTCTATCTCACATTCGTATTCACATAGCTGGCATCATTACTCATTCCTTTATTACTTGTAAACTGCACCATTAGCAGTCTGGAAAAAATCCCCTAACGAGTGTTGGAAATTATTCCGGGCGAAGCCCCAAGGAGGATGCCCTTGGATAAGACTGATTTACAATGATTTACAATTTTATGGCCAAACCAAAGCAGACAAAGCGGGTGATTCCGAGATGAAAACGAAGACCCATCTAATCCCCCCCGCCCCCCGCCCCCCGCCCCCCCCCCATGTGTCCAAAAATAAACTGGTCCGTAAAAACTCCGTCACATAGGCGTAGTATTAATTGGAGTTGCTCGCTTGGGCTTATGGGCTCCTGATTCCCACTAATATATAATATTTCTTTTGTCTCAGTACCAGGCATGCGTCAAGGGTTCCTTTCATGGCGAGTTGTGTACGAATCAGGGTACTTGGTAATCAACAATTGGCTCTACTATTTTTGGAACAGCAGCGGCCCAAAATACTTTTATGGACATCGGCCAGTCCCACCAACCGTTAATCCAACTTCGACTTTCACGGCCCCTCCCGTACGCGTTGGGTAGATAGTGCAATCAGTCCACCTGATTGTGTGCTTTCAAACTGTTAATACACTTAAGTTAAGAATAAAGTCTGTAAAATATGACAATAAAACAAAGAAAACGTAGCTAATGACACAGACCATCTGGCCTGAGAACCACCAGCACGTTTCACACTCCTAGCATTAGCACTGGAAAATCGCTGGCTGTATGTAGTTTCTAGTCTAATTTAATCAAAGTCTCCTTAATATAGCCTAAGAACGAGAGTTATATGACTCAATGGGGAGGGAAACCTAGGAAGTGCTTTTAGTAAAGTGCTTCCTTCAACGGAATAAGATGTAAACACGTGTTTCTTTTTATCATCCCTCTATGAGAAATAGAGAAAAAATTTTTTTTTCAAACGTTCTTTTCAAATTATTCTTTGCCTCTCAGAAAGAAATACTTGTATAAGTGGGCAGGAGCCTCTAATGTGAACAGTTTCCAACGCATCAAATGCAATATTACCGTGTGACACGAAACTTTTGCGGGTTCAGATTTATGCGATTTTTGCGACTTTTCCAGCGATCCGCAAAAATAAGTTCCCGCAAACAAAAATTACCACAAACATTTCCCCCAAAAAGATTTAATCCAGAGTAATTTTTCTCTAACTTAGATTCGCTACACAAAACTCTAGTACTAAGAAATTGTGTCTGTTAAATTACGTAGGGTATGAATACCGTGTAGTATTGTTTTAAACTTTGTTTCTATCGTACGTACTTAACAAAAACGAAAATAACATCAATGCTGGGCACTGGGTACTTTCTAAAAATCGCAAAAATTAATTCCGAGCAAGAAAAACCAGTCTGTTCAAAACGCAAAACTTAGTTCCCACAAAACACAAAAAATCGCCAATCCGCAAAAATACATGTAAACTCCCGCAAACGTTTCGTGCCACAGGGTAAATACAGAACAATCTATCGTCCATTCTCCCAGTCGACTCTTCCTACAGAATTTCAATAGGCTACATCAGTCGACAATAACAACAACCACAACCACAACAACAACAACAACGAAACAACAAAAACAACAACAACGTATTTATTGACAGAACGATAAGTTTTGCAACATACCGTATACCCCGCAAATAGCTCTTACGCTAATCTAGGCAGGAAAAAACTTTAAATAAAGGCCATGTTAGTCAATTACATATTACTAAAAAACTAGAAAAGAAATACAATAACATACGGAAAGGAACACTGGAAGTTTTCACTAGTTACATGTAGATTTCAAGTTCAAGGGTTTTGTTAATAGACCATAATTACAGCTGTTGGTATATACAACAAATTACGTATCCGTCGAGCCATTCCTTGTCACTAGCAGAAGCCAAAAGCTAGAATTAAACTGTGACACGCCCCTTTGCGCTCTTTTGATTTTCTTTCCCCACTTTTTTTCTTTACGTTTTCGTACTCTGTTTCAGTGTCTCGGTAAAGTAGCTTCACACACTTAAGGACTAATTGCTGTTCTTGCTCAACTCCTCACAAAAAGTGAGAATTTTCTGATTTCAGTCATTCTGAATTTTTTTGTCGTGACGTGACTTGAAGAACGACAGAACCTGAAGCTGATCCTTTAACTACCCCAGTGCGAGTTTGCACGCGTTTTTTAAGTTCGCATGCGGCTTTTATAACACTCATTAGATTTTAAGTGTATTTATTAATATTTCTATATATTTATAACAGGAAATCCTTTCCCCGTTTTCAAATGACCTAATGAATGATATTAAAACGTACTAATTATGAAATAAAATGTGACATTATGCATTCAAGGTCGCTTTGATAGAGTTCGTGGATTGAAAATTCGTTTCTCTTCTAATTTTTATTATAAGAAAAAAATGGCCACATTGAAATAGGTTCACACATCTAAAGACTTACCATACATTTGTATGTAATTAACACCACACAAAAAATTAAAACTTTCTTGCTTTAATTTTTCCTCCTTCGAATGTTGTCGAGACCACTCATCTGAGGGTCAGCTAACAATGTTGTAAAACTGGAATCGATGGAAGCCATTAAAACTTTCTTGCCTTAATTTTGTCGACCTGAAGTTTGAAACGAACTTTTAAAGTGGCTGAATAAAAAGCAGTCCTCCCAACTGTTGTCCCAAAGTTGGCACGTTTTCTGGGACACTATCGATATCAGTTTGCGGTTGACATGTATCGGCTAACATTGTGTTTAAACAATGACCACTTTTACGATTTGAATTTTAAGAACCCTTTATTCTAAAACACGTCAATTATAACAGAATACTAGGGCACATTGTCTCTTGATGATCCCGTGCTTCGCGTTGGCACGAAATATTGATGTGAGCTATTTAACTTTATTTGGACTTGACCCGTACCTTCCCAAAAATTGAAACCGCTTGAGTTAGACCCATCTAACCTGTTAACAGGTATCGATCGAGATTATTCATTTCTGCTGGGTTTGATGTAGCTAATTATTTATTTATGTATTTTAATAAATTTAAACCATTAAACTCCTAACTGGCTAAAGTTTTAATTAAACCAGTGAACTCCTAACTAAAGTAAAGAAAACATGCAACCTTCAGGTGCTCTGCCTAACATTTACGTAATTGAACGCGGAAATTATTTTATGAGTCAAGAGACTTCCAAGTCCTGTGACCCTTGTACATGAAAAGCGCTTTGTCTTTTTGAAGTGTTTTGAAAAGTACTCGCACGCGTCGTTTACGTAACTTGAAGAAGTAGTCATAATAACAGATTCTTATGATCTAAATAGTTGAGCTTCTTTTTGTGGCGACACCGATAGTATAAAAGAAACTGCACCTTTGATGTAAAGCGCATACAAATTTTTTGTCAGCACAGAGAAACCTAAAAGGTGAAAAGTCTAAGCTCAGCACAGTCTAAGGTATGGCTTCTGTTTAAACTTGAACCATGACCGAGTTTCCCTAGCTAAAACAAATTGGATTGTTTGTATTATCTATAACTTTTAAGGGTGTTTGCTTTTATATATTTACCTGTGTGAAAGTTACCTGAGATTGAGTTGTTAAAATCTCTTTCAAATTTCGAAAACCTTTTCAGAAAATCTTTTCAGACCTTGTAAAGTTTTTCAAATTTAAAAATCGTTTTCAAATCCACAACTGTTTCAACTGGATCTTTCGGAAGTCGAAAGGCCAATCCAAAAGCAAAGTTATAAACTTTTGAATCTCTAAAAAATGTCTCGAGACCCAGCTAAACAATTTCTCAAAAAGAATTCTTTGTCCTTTATTCTTTTGAAATTAGTAAATCTTTTTCAAATCTAGACGACCTTTTCCGAAAATCTTTTTGGATCTTGAAAAGTTATTCAAACCTGAAAATATGCATGTTTTTAAATGCCGAAACGTTTTCAACTCCCGCGCAAGATCCTCTTCAAATTTAAAAAACGCTTTCGGCCCCAAAAGTGTTTTTACACGAGCCAATTTTTTTTTCTGAAAATATGTTTTCAACTGAGGTCCCAAAAAGTTCTTAAATGCACGAAATCATCATCTTTTTTCCTAGTTCTTGATCCAAACTGTACCGTATTGCATGATCACTTTTTGCACTATGAATATTGTTTTCAACAAACTACAGTTGTCGCTATCTCTCTGCTCTTTCACTGCGTGAAATAAAAAATTTAGTGGAATTTACACGGCTTCGATAGCCGATTGCACTTAACAAATCATATATCGATACGCGGGGTGTAATGAAACGCGGCGTTTCAGAGAGTGTCATGTCCCCGATACTCTGTCGTAAAATATCAGGACAAATCGTAGCCCGCACACGTCCAATGCGGTGTGTCAAGAAATATACGAACTCTGATACTTAACGACATCGGTTAGCCAAAAACTATGTGGACTTTCGGCAGGGACGTAAAATAGCATGAAAATTGAAATTTACGAAAAATTAAACTTTACCTAATAAAACCACAACTAACTCATTTACATAAACTTTCCAAGGTACGTAAAGGTTTGTAGCTGCCATAAAATTTGGGCAGTGCGGCTCACTTCAGTGTGCTAGTACTTATGCGCTAGGGTTTATAACTATCCAAAGCGTGGTAACGTGGGCTGGAAATTGGTTGGGGGATTAACCTTACTTATCGGCTTAACAGGGGGCAAGGAGTTAATTCAGCGTTTTTATCATGGGGAGGGCAAGTTCACTTTTTAGCCGTATTTTGCTCTTTTCAGAGTCCCCTCCCTCCCTTATAACTGAACTGTCCCTGGAATATTTATCTCATCTCCTTCTAGTTTTATTTTGTAATCAATTGGTAAAATTTAATGAAATATTTAAAACCTTTGTTCAATAATTAGCATTTTTTGGATGAAGTTTAGTATTATCTAAGTGTTATCAAAGTATCTCACAACTTTAAAGTTCCTCAAGCTCATAATGATTAATATTTGTTTGTTGGTTTGTTAGAACAGTCAGAAAATGCATTTCTTCAAGTTTCTTGTTTTGGTCTTCGGAGTTTGTTTCGTTTTTACCAAAGCTGAAACTGAGATGAAAGATGAAGAACAATTCATGCAGGATGAGGTTGAGGAAGGTTTGAAAGAAGACACAGAAGAAGAACCCAAGATACTACCAGAGGAAGACTCCGAGGAAGATACCCCCAAAAAAGTCCTTCTGCGCTCACTATATCTGACAATGAAAGTGCCTACCAATCACAACTTCTATTTCTTTCGCACTTCCTACTGTTTCAGACGTGGATGCTTTGGTAAGAAATATGCGTTTAATTCAGTGCGAGATAAAGTTGGGTTTATGGACATTGGCATAAGCTCTTTTTGTATGGAGCAAGACGAATTCAAGGTTTCAAAAACACGGAATTCTGATTTTGTGCATAAATCCCAAATTTCTCAAAATTTGAACCGAGAATCTTGATAGTTTGCGCATTCAGTTGATCTACTATTCCATCCTACTGGTAATGTTACTTCTGGGCCCAGTTGTTCGAAGGCCGATTGGCGCTTAACCCGGGGTTAAATTTAACCCTGGTTTCTTTTTCTTGTGCTCAAAAGCATTTTCTCGGAGAATTTTATCTGTTATTTTTAGAGCTTCCAATCGTCAACTTGTAGACAAAAAGAATTAAAACTGAAATGCTTTTTAAACTTTCAAATCTAAATTCAAATCTCGCACTAACCCTGGGTTATCTTAACCCAGCTTTGAACAACTCGGCCCTGATAACTGCCCTGCTTTAACCCGCGGTTACCCGGCAACTTTATCAATGCAAGTGTCTTGTGAAATTTTTTTGACAGCTTCGATATCATCACTTCCATGACCATAGTCTGAGATCAGAAAAACTGCAGAAATTCAGAACTGATTTCATTCTGATGAAGAGTCACTACCCGGATCTTGGTAATGCTTCTGATTGGTTGAAGCAAATCTCGAACCCTCACGTCACGATCAATCAAAAGCACAACCCAGATCTGAGCAGTGACACGTCATCAGTACTAACGAAAATCTGCGCTAGGTCCTGTCAGCTGTTTTCTCAGGCTCTCGGCCGTTAATTATGTAATAAAATGTTTGTAATATAAAAGTCTTTCACATATAGAGTAATATGGGGAAAGGGCTATTGTAATTTTTTTCAGTTTTTTTTACCAGTGAGAGCACTCTATTTCCTATGGTAGAATTGAACATATACTGAATTAATGCAGATTACACTTTCTTTGCTTTTAGTTCCAGGCCTGGGTAACAGGTTCCTTACATGGCGAATCGTGTACCAGTCAGGTTATGTGGCGATCAACAACTGGATCTACTATTTCTGGAAGTGCACCTTCCCGGGACACATTTATAAATATCGACCAACTCCAACCAGCAAGCCCTGAACTCCCTGACCAGGGTTTCGCTTTCAGCCGCTTTAGTGGATAGAATGTGCGCCAAACGGCTCTCAATCCTGTAAATTTTAAAACTCAGTGAATAGGGTTGACCACATTATGCTGGTACATCTTGTTTTGAGCATTATTGTGAAGCAAAAGAATGAAGCATTTTGTTGGAATAATAGTGTAACACTTGTTTGTTTTGCAAAAATTTTTGCCAATAACATAGGATTTATGTATGAGACACCAGCCCGTGTACCACGACATTAAGACCACACCTGGTACAAATAAACACAAACATGGCTTCCATCGATTCCAGTTCTACAACATTGTTAGCTGACCCTCAGATGAGTGAGTGGTCTCGACAACATTCGAAGGAGGAAAAATGTCAATTCGGAGCATAGTAGTGTTGCTATTTGAGCGGCATAATTGTAGTAACATTTGTTGAGCGTAAAGAACTAGCATAATAGTATGAAACATTGAGCATAATTGTGGACAACCCTATCAGTGAACCGATTAAAAATAAAACATACAAGCGGCCATTTTATAATGAATTTAACGTTTCGTAGGTTAAGCGACGTACCTTTCCAAAAATACATGCGATACAGTGTTTGAAAACTGTTTATTTGTTTAAAATAGCTAAAAGAAACGAACTGAACAGTAATTTAAAACACGCACCGTCTGTGTTAATCTGCTGTCACTGCTTTACTGCTGAAGCTAACATTTACAAAATGGCTGGCTGGCTATGACGTTATTGAGTTAAGCAAAGTCTCCTCAATATGGCCTAATAAAATGAGATTATTCGAGAAAATAACAGCGAAACCCAGCTAGTACTTTTAGTACTAAAGATAAAGTCCTTCTATTGAAGAAGCAATGCAAATAGCAGTGTAATTTTTTTGCCATTGAAAATAAAGAGAAGGTTTTTCTTTCAAAATTTGTTTTAGAATTATTCTTTGTCTCTTATTTAATAAGAGAGTAGTTGTTTACATCATGAAAGCTCTTGGATGTAAGAAATCAAATTTATAGAACTGAGTACGCCTCAACTGATTTGACTTCCTCTAGGCATCAGATTGGCATTTGAGATACTTCCAATCGGTTTAATCCGTAGTAAACACTACGCTTTTCCTCGCCGGGCAAATTACCGAACTAGATGTTATCGTAAGTCTTTTCCATTAGAATTTCCATTGGCTTTTAATAAGCGAGGGAAACCTGAACCCTCCCGAAAGCAGAGCCAGACACTTAACATGAACCTCGAGGGAGAGAGGTTAGACGAAAATATATTAGTAGAAGTTGTAGGTAAATGACAATTAAACTTTTATCAACTTAATAATCAAAATAAGGCCCAAAGTAACTAAGTGCACAAGCATGTTAGGATGCCTGGTAGAATGATTCCCCTCAGTAGAAACCCCACCTCTTTTCTACCATATCTTCTTGACAATTGATTCAAAGTGTAAACAACAAAGATCAGTAGTTCGTATGATTGCAAAAAGTATAAGCAGCTTCTTAAATTTTTTAAGTAAGAGAAAAGACCTCCTATATAAACCTTAAGAAAAACCAGCAGAGAGAATCAAGCAGTAATAAGGGAGGGTGGGATGGGATTTTGTTCCACGAAGAGAAGAATATGAAGTGCTATTTTGCTGAGCTAGGCGCGAAAATATAGGCATCAACTGTACATGTGATAGCTGGCATCTAATTGGCTGAGCGAAAGAAATAGTGTGACAGGGGTCGCATGCCGGAAGTGACCCCTGAAAGGAAGTGAGCTGGTTCCATTACTGGTAAGGGTGGGTTTATGGTTATCACATTAACTCTAATTTATCCTGTTGTATAAATTATCTTCTAAAGAAACCGCTTTTTTAATGAATTGCCGCCATTGTCCAGCATTCAAACTTTCGTTTAATCACTGCGCATTGAAAGACTTTGTCCCTCCGCACTTTGTTGTTCATCGATTTCTTTGCATCATGAGTCCTCAAGTGATAGAGACGAACTACTGAAAAGTGTGTAGCCCCTCTTGGAAACCTCTCTATGTAACTAAAATCTGATTCGTTGGGAAGTACTCAAACCCACAAACCCGAGGGCACACATAACAAAGAAATTAGAATTACGCCCAATAATGCTGATTAAACAAAGATTTTTTACGTTCTTTCAACAAGAATAATATGAGCCCCTGGGCATTTCCACCAAATGCAAATATGGATTGACCTTATGCTGTACGACATTTTCTGTTAGAAGGCACGCTATTATACAGCCCAATGTACGCCTATTATAAGAGCTTTTCAGGTTTTTGAGCTTAAAATCCAACTGGCACTACGTCAGCTATACGCGAGTATGCTGCAAATTTCGACAAATGAGTCCTCCCTAAGGGCCTGTTTACATGGAGTGGGGGACCCCGGTCTAGTGGGGTAAGTTTCATTTGTTTTCACGCTCTGGGGGACACAAAACAAAAGAAACTTACCCCACTAGACCGGGGTCCCCCACTCCATGTAAACAGGGTCTAAGTTTGCAAAAAGAAAACAGACAATTGAATTTTGCAATCATATTCCTCACGTTAAGTAGTATTGCTTACTATGCCCCCAAATTGTGCACAGACCATTGTTTTCAAATGCTCCTGGGATTACTACATTTTCCCAAGAGCATTTGAAGACGCAAAAAGAGTGTATTATGGAGAATTCGAAAATAGTCAATACCTGGAAATTCTTATCAATAGAAATCACCTTGAGTTTCAGGGGTGAATATTATACTACGTTTGTTTTATTTCCCCAAGCAAGGTGGTAGAGTTAAAATGCGGATTGCTTATAAGTCAATAGTGCAAAGGAGAACTAAAGAATTACGGCAATGCTGCATGGGTGGTGAGATTGGCTCTTCTCTTGTAAACATGATCAAAGGCCTTTGAGTTAAAATTATTGTAATGCAAATTTTTTTGTTCGAGCTGACTACAATTTTGTGCGTCACCTAGAACTGTGATCATTTTCCTTATGTGCTGCTCAAGGTGCTGTTAACGGGATTTACTTAACACGGTAGGCTTTTCAGTTAATTTCTTTATCTCGTTAAGTCTCTTAACTACTTACACCAACAATTCTCGTTATATAACATTTTTTTTGTTCTTTTAGCAAAGAGTATTGCTTTTGAGTATCCAAGTAAGAGACTCTTAACTATTACGACAAATTTTCTGTTGAAGGTTATAACCGAAACTTTACTTGATTTCATTGGAAGTTAAGAAAAGATGAAGTAAAGTGTTTGCTTGCTCCAGGTTGTTACTTTAGTCCTTGGATTCTGTTGGGTTTTCACGAAAGCAGAAAGCGAGACGGCTACGAACACAGTAAAAGATGATAAAACATTTCCTATTAAGGACAAGCTTGACAGTGCCACCGTCACAGAACATTGGTTTTCTGATGTAAAGGAGGAACTTGACCCAAATGAAACCGCAGAAGACGATCCGAAGAAACTCGCCGCAAAGGAAGACCCCAAGGAAGATAGACGAACCATTCGACCACGGCCACCCTGGCTACCCCCGGCACCAATACTTCTCCGTGTCGTGGTTACTAACCTCAGGGTCGCGCGAAACGTTTTTACAGTTAGCTACCGCTTCTGTTTCAGACGTCGCACTGAAGGTAAGCAAATTCCCTCCGAAAGACACTAGGGACCGCTCATTATTTGTCGCCCGGGCGGGGCGGGGGTCGGAGGATTTTTTTTCGAGGTTAATTTGATTATAAAGATTATAGCTATAGTGATCTTTGATATTCGTAGTCAAATGAAGATACATAAACATGAAATACATTACCTTTTTGCAAAAAGTATTCCTTTTACATTTAATTTTCTGCGATTTTATCACCGTAATTTCGAACTGCCCCTGTGGAGTACAAGTGTTAGCAACCCGAAAGTTACAAACGACCCGGGAATAGCGACCCTCCAAAAGTAGCAATAGGAGAAGGCTGCTGAATCCGAAAGTACTTGAAACGAGATATGTTACTTTCAGAACTTTAAGGTTTTGATTTGCTGTGGTTGTGTTGTCTGATTGATCGCAGGCATTCAACCTTCAGTAATATAATGTCATTTCCACTGTCCTCGTCGATGTTGTCAGGGTAACCTCTCAAGTAAATAGCCTCTTTAACCTTACGAGAGTAGCAATGAGGGTCTCGGTCAACAAAATTTTATCGCCATTATTGGCGTGTTCAGAAACGGTTGAGGTTTTTAGTTTAAATTATCTTAGCTTCCCCCATCTGTTCTAAAACGGAATTTGTTAACACGCCCTTCCCGCTCAATTTATCCCTAGTCGTAAAGAATGGGTTGTCAAATGCCGGTACTGAAATATAATATTGGAAAACTTACTAGATAACTACAATGGATGTCGGCGTATGGCAATGGGACAAAGAACAGTACATTGTAATTGAAAACAATGGTTCCCAGTATATAATAATATACCCTAAAGAACACAGCCAATAACAAAGCAAATCTAGAATCAACTAGTTGCATCTTGCGGTATGCAAAGCGGTGTTCATGAAAAAAAAGTCATCTCTTCATTCGTCTCCATATTTTCCCGCCGAAACCATAGCACTAATGGCGACAAGCAAAACTTCTCGATCCTTCTCATTCGTACAAAATGTATCGGGATGGACTTTATAAACAAGAATAAAGAACCAGAAGTTTTTTAATTTCATTTGGATCTCTTAGAGGACATGTGGGAAATATAATACGAAATCAAACAGTTAGCCAAAATGTTAATTAAGAAGTTAGTAAGGAGGTTTCAAAACTCAGGGTGGAGAAGCAGATCATTTATTTTGTAGGTTACAATTTTAAAGCTAAGCCAGACGGTCGGTTACTCTCTTGAAACTTTCTTATCTTCTAACTCTGAATCGCTAAAGCGGCGTTGAATCTACTTAAAATGAAAACAGAAACCATTGATCGAAACATTTAAGAAGCCTTACTAAAATCCCGCAAAATACATTCGACAGCTCGGCGTTTGCCATTTTTCCGTGGGAGCCATTAAAGCAGAAAGAAGTGAATTCTTTGGATTTTTTTTTTTTATTGACGAGCTGTCGATCATTTGAATATTCTTTGTTATAGATTAGATTTAGCATTAAAAATGACTTTCTTTGAGATTAACTGCAACACGATACAAACCGCACTTACGCAAAACCTCAAACTCCTCAAAATGGCCAAATGTCTTTTTGTTTGTTTTCAGTCCCAGGTCTACGTCAACAGTTTCTTGGATGGAAACTTCCATATCAGTCAGGATATGTGGTGATCAAGAATTGGATTTATTATTTCTATAGGTGCAAACCAAAATCGCAACCAGCGACCGCGACGGCCAAAACAACTGCTCCACCAAACACCTTCTCTACTTAGTTCCCGAGGACTCACTGTTAACTCGTCCTCAAGTTTGGACGTCTCTTTATGATCTACAAACAAACCTTTAGCTAAAAATTGCTTTTAGTAAACACTGGCTCTTAAAACAAACTTCAACAGGAATGCCTTTCTGCCCTAAACGGGGTATAATTTACTGTGTGTCTGTCCTAAACAGGGTATATAAATTCGTGTGATACTGTCAACAGGGTATTGCCTGCACGATTAATTTGATTTACTGGATGAATTTTGTTTGAACTCCAAGTATAGTGACGTGAATTTGCTCTGACGTGCATTTTGTCCTTGTCCCAAACGGCGTAATTAAAAATCTAGGATTTTGTCTTAAACAGGGTGTGTATGTTAGGAATTTTTCGTCCTAAACAGAGTCAGGGTTTCAAACTGTCAGTGGCTCACCTATGCCCTAAAATTGGTCGAGTACCACCCCGTGGGCATGAGTTTAAGCATACCAGAATTTAAGATATTCAAACGATGGGAGGCTTAAAGACATTTGCAATGTACATTACATAATATGGACCAAATGTCACACAGCCGGCTTGACTAGGGTTCTCGCGCCATTTTTTAAACCAATAAGATGACAGCCAAAACAACTCATGACTAGCTTTGTGGTCAAGCATTTGACTTTTGAGGGGGGTATGGGTGACTTCAGAAAAGAATATCCTGGAGACCAGGAGCCTATCAAATTTGATGGGCTCCTGTGGAGACTGATTTCGAGGGAAAAAATCTCTTACCTTGCTCACAAAAAAATTCCTACTCTGAAAAATAATTTCTTTCATGACGTATAATGCTGGAAAAAAAATCTTACACCCTTGTATTTCCGGAAAAAATTCTTTCATCAGAGGTTTTGGGACTCATAACCCCTCCCCCCTACTCCCCCTTAAAAGTCAAATGGTTGGCTCCTTAACTGATTATTCCGCGCTATAAGTCAGCTACATGTATTTTCCGATCTGATTGGTTCATTCGGTTTAAAAGACGTTCTTTTATTGCTCAGATGTTGCACTTACGTTGGTTTTGGATTGACAGTCCTGACTCAATTGAAAACCCCTAGTCAGTGGGCTGTAACTTGGTCAAAAAACGGTTGACGCTACTGAAGACATACTATTTAGTGCGCAATTTGGAAACACAAGAGTCACTTCTCCACCTAGCAGGTAATACATTTCCACCGATATCACAGAAGACATTAGACAACACAAATTTTCAACCAGCTAGAACGTCGTCTCTGTGGTTCCAAAATGTTTCCAAATACCATTAAATGAATTATGTAGACATGATATAAACAGGAGTGTAGGCTTGTAGAGCTCTTCAAGCAATCGAAGCGAATTTTAAAATGGCCTTAAAGAATTGCAAAGAATTTATAGGAAGCCTATTTTGCCACACCATCCGTTTCTACTCCATTAAAATTACTTTACTAAAGTAATTTTAATGGAAGAAAATGTTAGGTTTATACTCGGCCGAGCGGCTGATAGCAACAAAACAGTACGCGGATGTACCTTTCGTGACATTTTCGTGACATTTTCGTGACAATTTTGTTTTAAAACCAAGCCTGGTAGGCTAATCGAGGATTTTTGAATGCCTGGAACCTAGGTTATATCCCGTGAAGCATCTCTGGAGTTTTAGCAACAAATAAAATGGCGATTCGGTGAGGTTTGGAGTTGTGAAGCTTTGTCCGACCGAAATGAGTCATTCGCAACTATGGCGTCCATTACTGGACTACAGATGGAAAACTGAGGGAAATAACGCGCCTTTTGGAAGTATTTTCCAGTGCAAAAATCGTCCTTTTAACGACTGTTTTGGAAACATCTTCCATCGCAGAAGTAATATTGAGTCGTGCAAATTTACTTCAGTGAAGGGTTTATCCTCTAATCGACGAGTATTTCGCATGACTTCGGCAAGATTTTAAGACAATGTATGGAGAAATGGAGCGTACAACGAGAGATAAAAGTGGCCACTTCGGGAAGTAAGTAAACCTACTTCTAATTAGCTATTTTTAACCCAGATGCGAAGGTTACACAGCACTTAACATGTTTCGAGTCGTGCACCGAACACCCGTGAGCTCATAATCGATATATTTGAAAAAGTTTCCTTATCTCCATACATTTTCTTATGCGAATTCGCAGCCATTGTGGCCTTAGTGCGCACGCGCAACCGCCATCTTGTCCCTAATTTCTGGCAATGGCTGGATTTGAAGTAACCTGCGATCAGTTGGTCCTTCTTTCCTTGCAGGTTAGCTGGAAAGTGGGTATATTTTGTAAATTAGTTCGGTGAAATTATGCTCATGCTATTTTGAGGACTGATAAACATTTTCTGGCATTAAAACTCTCCTAGCTGAATCGTCTACTTTCGAATAAATAACGAAATCCTAAACGAGTTTCCGCGCGCCAAACTAAGAACCACAAAAGTCAAAATATTATAGCCGCAAGCTACATTTTCTTTGTTTGAGACTCAATTTATAGCGGAGCCCCATACTCATAGAAAATGGTCAACCTCTTTTCGTTTGGTTGTCACGTGATTGACCGAGCGTACGTACGTACGCGTCTACAGATTGTAAGGGTGGGGTAGGGGAGACTATCAAAAGGGAGGGAGTGGTGTCTCAGGCGTGTCTTGGCAGGTCCACGTCTCGTATATTGGACAGTCACAAAATGGTCAATTGACAGCTCTCAAAACAGGATAGCCACTTACCAGTGGCGCCGGGCCTCCTAGGCTTTAAGCTTGAAGACTCATGATTAGGGAAACTTTAATACTAAATTGTGTGCGTGAATGAAAATTGTTGTCTCTGTATATGTTTCGCCGAATTATCTTTCATTTAGTGATTGTTAGTGGTCTCTCTTGTAATTTTAATCACTGAGCCGTTTGTTTTCAGTCGTTCAGTGAAAATCGCTTGCAGGAGGTACTCAAAATGTTGCGCGTATCAAACGCTTTTAAAGATTACACATCGATAAGACAATTAAATAAAAATTCTTTATTATGTTGAAGCGTAACTCTGTTAATGTTCATTCAAACACAAATACAGCTCGCTCTGCAAAAGTGAGAACTGGCTGGCCATATACACTAGGTGATTTTGGAAATTTTTTTAACTGTTTAGCTAAAAGCCCACGCGTGCTTCGATCGATCGTCCTGAATATTAAATGGGTGCACTTTGCATTGCAAAATTGTGAAATACTGCATTCTGTCCGAGATCTGAATGATAGAAACAGTGCCTCATAGTACTGTTTTACCTCAGATGTGATGTTTAAATTGTATAAAAGGTTGGTTTACACGCACCCAGATTTGTTGGCAAGATTTTGTAAAGTAAACTTGTCGAACGCAAAAAATTCGGCCTGATTTTTTTTCCAGGCCTAATTAATCGACGGTGATCAAGAGCCATTATGCCTCTTAAATGTGATCGAAGATGATTGCTGTTTTGGGGTGTACATATGAGGCTATCTTGGGCTGTTTGCAAATTATTTTCCTCTAAAATCACTCAGCCTTTCCGTCAAAAGTCACATGAATGTGCCCTAAAGTTAACTGAATTGTGGAATACAAGTTTATTGTTTGATTTAAATTATAAATTTATTAATGGGAGCCTCGCTTTTAGCCCTGGCTAAATCTATATATTAGATTGATTGCTTGATTAAGCCGAAAACCGACTGATTAAACCGATAACCAAACCAAACACAAGGTACTTATGTTTTACTCCAAGAATTAAGGCTTTAAAAGGTAGAATAATTCTCATATCCTCTGTAGAACTATGATTTTTAAAAAATTATTTTGTCTAATTTTTCTTTCTTTTTAGTACCAGGCCTGCGTCAAGGGTTCCTTTCATGGCGAGTTGTGTACCAATCGGGATACATGGTGATCAACAATTGGCTTTACTTTTTCTGGAACTGCAGTCCAAGACAGATACCAATACCGTGGCCTCGACCAACTCGATTGAGGCCCTCGCCTACTCGCACCAGGACCCCTTTCAACCGCTTTTTTGGATAAAATGTGCGATCAAATCACCGTTCATTTTTATATACTCTAAGTATACTACTCTGGGCATTCTCTCCTGCCAAACTTAAGTTTAGCCCGGATTTCAGCTGCCTACTCCGCTCGCTAAGTCAATCGGGGAAGCTGAGGCGGTCTTCTCGCCCGCCCGATTGACTAAACGAGCAGAGGAAGTATTGAACGAAACTTAGGTAGCGCTGTGAGAAATAGAGACAATTTATTTCTTTAATACGTGTTTCTCTTTATGTTATCTTAGTTTGTCTTCTGCTTAAAAGCTTTTGTGGTAAGATCATGACAAACTGTTTCCGGCTGAGCCGGAAACTTTTGTTTGCCAAAGAAATGAAGGAAGGGTCTTATATTTTATCCTGTAGGAAAGGGGACCATGTTTGGCCGTTTTTGCTAGAGATATTAGCCTGAAGCGTTTTTGTATTTACGTCAGTCCCTTTAGTGCCTCTAAACGGTGGTCGATTCAACAAACCGCGGCATGTTTCAAAGCGGTCCAATTTTCAAGTAGTTTAATAGTTGCATTCACGTACGTAAAAGAAAACTGACAAGAAATTGGAAAACCACTGAAAACAATGACATGTACAATCAGCAAACTTTACTCAATTGTAAATAAGTACTGCACGGGTTTCCTAGTTAAGCGTGACCTTAACAGCGGCCACAAGAGAATAGTTGGTGTTTTTTATGCTGACTTTTCTGTAATATTTCTGCCGTGAATTTAGCTGCTGTCATTGTCATCAGGGTCCACTCTTTTTTTTTTTTATAAGAATGTTGTTTTTCCGGCCCAGGCTGAATATTCTTATTTTTCTGCCGATTTTAGGCTGAAAATATTCTTGTATTATTCTTAAATAAGGCCTAGTGCTGTTTTTGTTTTCGCTAGGTTTTGTTATTTAAAAAGGAAAGAATTTGTCATAATACTTTTTTGCGGTTTACTTTACGTCTTTTGTGCTGAATACTGTACATATGTATTACATGTACCGTTCATCGAACTGTCATTAGTGTTGAACATTTTTCTATAGCTTGTGCAGGTTTTTTCGTTTTGTTGGCTAGTTTCGCCGTTCAGAGAAAGGAATAATTTTATACGGTTAAGTTAAAAACATAATATTGTACTGTATTTGCAGATGTTTCAACACACAAAATTATATCTATCCTTTTCAAAATTAATCTCAGCCTTGGCTTTTTTCTTAAAATATTCCTAAATTTCGCAAATTTCAGCCTCGAGATTCTTATAAAATATATTCTTAAAAAAAAAAAAGAGTGTATGCGTAATAAAGAGGTGTTCGCAACTGACATGGCTAAAGACTTAACCTCGTCATGATTTGCCTTTTGTTCAGTATGTAAGGAGAGACTCCTGCTCAAGTGTACTTGCATGGGGGCGTGGGGGGGGGGGGGGGGGGGAATGTAGTTATTGTCCCTGTCCCTGCAAATTTCAACTACAAAGTAAAAATGAGACTAAAACTAACTGGGGATAGTGATCCGATCATGGATACACAGGTTCGTATACAGACCAAAAGAGTACTAACAATAATCGATCGAGATAATTTTTGCATTCCCTTGTTCATTCGCTACATCTGTAGGCTAATCATAGTTCAAGTACCTACCGCCCTGACTTTGTTAACTCTTAGAAATCTGGTTCAGTGCAAACTTCTGATAAGTGCCGGGAAAATTTCAGAAATAAATTACATCAACTGACCGACAAGCCTACGTGCGTAGAAGGTATTTGGGGTAGACGGTTTTAAAATATATAGAACACGTATAGGTGGTTTTCACGTTACGTCATCGCCGCCATGCTAGCCTGCGCGCAGACGAAATTAAACTCTGGTTAACTCCGTCTGCGAAACAGCGCCGAAATCCTCTTTCTGGACTTCCAGCTGTGTACCCAGATTTGAGTACGCGCCACGATTGGCCAGTTAAAAAAGGCCTTTGTTTTGTTTGTCGTGATCGCCAATCAGGTTGAAGGGGAATTCGAAACGCACTTTCGGTAATTCGTTGAGTCCGTTGGGGGTCCAGAACAAGGATCTCTGCGCTGCTTCGCAGACGGTACTAATCACAGTTTAGTTATCGTCTGCACGCAGGCTACGCCATGCTGGTGGACTCTAAACAAAAGATCGCTCATTTAGCTCGCTTTGTTTGTCCACCAGCATTTGTTCATTTTACCATTGTTATTTGTGTCTCCCGAGATTGCATGAAAACCACCTATTGTTTTTATTTCCCCACTGCACTTTGCCATTCAATAACTGCCGACGCATCACTCTAAAAATCATTGGTGTGTGGTTGAGCTTCTTTAACACGCGTTAAAAATTGTGATTTTCTCTGCAAGCTCTATATGTTTATCACGATCTTTAAAAACTCTAGATGTTTTATCACGCGTGACCTTTCTGCAAGTATATTTTGTTTAATTGTTTCAAGGTTTTTAACAGTCCACATAAACGACCCAGAAATTTTCTAGACTGTTCACAGTCCTCTATTTTTCCGTAAGATCGTCGAGATCGAGCGCTCTGCGTTACGGGTTGCCATCTCGCATGAGTGTCAAAACTACTTAGGGGGCGGGGGCGGTTTGGGAGGAAACGAGAATCTATTTTTCTCGCCTCCTTCCCCCCCCCTTCACCTAGAGCTATAATCCCCGACGCCCGCGCCCTCGGTACATTTGAAAATCAAGATAGCAGTGGCGGTAAGACGCGGTATACCTAAACGATCTCACGAAAAAATAGGGGACTGTGAACAGTCTAGAAATTTTCCAGACTTGCAGTTTTCCGTGATGAAAACTAATCATTATTGAATGAGATCACTTTGTCGTGGTTTAGCCTTTATATTGCTCGTACGCGTACAAACGTTTGTGAGACAAATAATAAATTGAAATGTCATGTTTAGTTGATTTTGAATAGCCCATTTTAAAGTTGCAGGTGAAAACGAGGCTGGAGTTGACCTTGTTTTGTGGGTCTTTCTGCAGGTACCGGAAAGCTTTGTATTTTTGGTCACTTGGGATTAGTCTTTATTTGGAGTTGTTTTGTTTCCTGTCTTTTATTACTATTGTATTACGTAATCTGTGCTCCGGTACTCACAGAAGGAACCGTTTTGATACAACCCTTCCTGCTTTCTTATGTAAATCATGTCTGTCTTATGCTAACTACTATTTTTTAAGCAAAATTTACACTATAAAAGGAATGAGGTTTGTATCACAACAAAATCAACCTCAACCTCACGTTCTCTCAAGGGCTAGGACACCAAGCCCACAACTGTAAAATGGCCATGTGTACTGGACTGTAAGCCCCCCGGGGGGTACTACTGGGAATTCTTGGTGGAGGTGTGCCGCCCGGTTCTTCAAATCCTGACCCGATTTCAGACTAAAAAACTGTTATTTTCCACATCCGTTTTCAGACTAGACCTCTAAAATCCATTCCCGTTTTCAGACCTGGCCTTTATGTTATCATTACCTACTAGTAGATTAGAGCGCAAACAAAAAAATTATTAAATCCATTTCGAATTCGCATATTTCTCTTTCTTTCTTACTAATTTGGAATTGAAACGATAAAGTCGTTCATACACTCCGTAGTTCCCTTTAAAACCACACCCGATTCCAGACCAAAATGAGCAAAGTGTAAGATTACCCGTTTTCAGACCAAAACGGCGCAAAAACGCTACCTGATGGGGCGGCACACACCTATATGGCTTTTATAAAGGAGTACCCTCCCCCCCGGGTTGTAAGCCTGCTTCAATTACGTGATGCCTTGTACAGTCCGGCCCCTCAGAAGTGATTTTGATACCCAAACTGACAAGAGTTAGTGCATACAAAAGAATTTTGTTTTTCCAGAGAAACCAGAGTTCTTGAAATAACCAACATTGGTTCAAGTTCTAGTCACGTTTTTGTGGTGACCAATGGTATAAAAAGACTGTTTTGTTCAGATCAGAGGGCAAACGCGCTTATTCTTCTTTTGCTACCGTGCGAGCAAAAGAAAACAGTTTGAAACCTTAGCGTCATCACAGTCAGATCAGTCAAGGTGAGGATTCGGTTTAAAGCGTTATAATTCTTTCTTTCCCTTAGATCTCTCCTGTCAGCTCGGGTTATGAATAGCTTAATTCACTGGTTTAGACTGATGATTAAGTTTTATATATCTTTGCCTGTAAATTTATTTTTACATTCTACTGGTTGAAAACTATATTGAATTGGAGAAGCTAAACAACTTAACTTGGTATTTTAAGAGGGTCCGCGAGTTCAAGAGCAAAAAGGACCACTTTTTGCGATTCCTTTATTGGAATTTTAAAAAAAGAAGGCTTGCATATTTGTCGTCAACTCCACTGATTTAACCCAGTATCCATAGCCAGTAAATTAAATTTAGTTAGACTGTTATTTGGATCCTTAGTTTTGGTACCAGCCTAAGCGCTGTTGACTTTACAAGAGGGATTTTTTTAACGTAGCTCCGCTAAGAATACTTCGCAGTTTTAATTTTAATTTACAAGCTCTTGAGTCTTTTACACAGTATTCGTTTGTTCGACAGCCAGAGATGCGCTTGTACGAGATCGCTGTGTTGGTCTTGGCCCTCTGTTTGGTTAAGTACACCAAAGCTGAAAGCGAGACGGATACGGAAACCTTGAGAGGTGAAGAAACATTAGCGAGGGACGCGAATCTCGACAGCACCGCTTATCTGAAGGAAGACCCGGAAAAAGCCGCCGAAGAAGACCCAAAGATACCAACAAAGCAAGACGTCGAGGAAGATATCGGAAAACGCCGGGTGATTCCGCGGGTCTTTATCACTATGAGCGTTCCTACAAACCACATCTTCAAAATATTTCACATTAAATTCTGTTTCCGACGCAGCTGCTATGGTAAGCGTATATTAGTCATAAGATATCCTTCATTGGTCCTCTTTTGCAAGAATCTTATGACCAAAAGTTTTTGTGTTAATTGT